GCTACATGCGGCCATCGAAGTCACCTTTTGGAGCACCAGTGCTGTTCCAAAAGAAGAAGGAAGGGTCGTTGCGCATGTGCATCGACTATCGAGCCATCAACAAGTTGACGGTGAAGAACAAGTGGCTGATTCCCAACATTGGCGATCTGTTCGACCAGCTTGGAGATGCTATGTGGTTCACCAAGCTAGATCTTCGTTCGGGCTACTATCAAGTGCGGATAGCAGAGGGCGACGAGCCAAAGACAGCTTGTGTGACGAGGTATGGCTCTTACGAGTTTCTTGTGATGCCATTCGGTCTCACCAACGCACCAGCCACGTTTTGCACTTTGATGAATCAAGTGTTCGAGCCATTCTTGGACCGGTTTGTCGTGGTCTACTTGGATGACATCGTCGTGTATAGCAAAACACTCGATGAGCATGTCGAGCATCTACGCCAAGTCTTCCAAGTCCTTCGCGACAACGAGTTGTACGTCAAGAGGGAGAAGTGCACATTTGCCGCCACGGAGGTTCCATTCTTGGGGCACATCATTGGTGGAGGCAAGTTGAAGATGGATGGAGCAAAGGTGCAGGCAATCCAAGAATGGGAGCCGCCGACGAAGGTGCCAGAGTTGCGGTCATTCCTCGGCCTTGCCAACTACTATCGGAGGTTTATCAAGGGCTACTCCAACATTGCAGCACCCTTGACGGATCTCTTGAAGAAGAACAAGGCGTGGGATTGGTCGGAAAGGTGCCAAGAAGCATTCGAGGCCTTGAAGCAACCGGTGGTAAAGGAGCCCGTGCTCGTGCTCCCCAACCCAACGTTGGCCTACGAAGTGCAGACCGATGCATACGACTTTGCGATTGGAGGAGTGTTGATGCAAGATGGGCATCCCATTGCCTTCGAGAGTCGGAAGCTTAGCGAGACGGAGAGGCGATACACCGTTCAAGAGAAGGAGATGACGGCCGTGGTGCATTGCTTGCGCACATGGAGGCACTACTTGTTGGGGTCAAAGTTCGTAGTGAAGACGGACAACGTGGCAACGAGCTACTTTCTGACGCAGAAGAAGCTCACCCCCAAGCAAGCAAGGTGGCAAGACTTTTTGGCCGAGTTCGACTTCGTCATGGAGTACAACCCAGGCAAGGCGAATTCCGTTGCCGATGCTCTTAGCCGCAAGAGTGCCGCCGCAAGCATCAGCCAGCCCATGTTTCCTTTGAAGGAGCGGATCGTTGAAGGCCTTGGCCATGACCCCTTCGCCAAAACCGTAGCGGAGTACATCGAGCAAGGCAAGACTCGACGGTTTTGGATGAAGGATGGGCTCATCATGACCAAGGGAGAGCGTGTGTTCGTGCCAAGGTGGGCCAACTTGAGGAAGGAGATCATGAAGGAGTGCCATGATTCCAAGTGGGCAGGCCATCCCGGCATCGAGAGAACGCAAGCGCTCATCGAAGAAGCATACTTCTGGCCGCGTATGAGAGACGACGTGGAGATGTATGTGAAGACTTGTCTTGTGTGCCAACAAGACAAGATGGAGCAGAGAAGCCCGGCAGGCTTGCTAGAGCCCTTGCCCACACCTCAACGACCATGGGAGAGTGTAAGCATGGACTTCATCATTGGACTTCCCAAAGTCGATGGATGCGGTTGCATCATGGTTGTGGTGGACAGGTTCTCGAAGTATGGAGTGTTCGTTCTCGGCCCAAAAGATATGACGGCGGAGGATGCAGCACGTCTTTTCTTCAAGAACGTGGTCAAGTATTGGGGCGTTCCTAGCAACATCGTGAGCGACAGAGATGGGCGCTTCACGGGCAGATTTTGGCGAGAGTTATTCAAGATCATGGGCTCAGATTTGAACTTCTCGACGGCATTTCATCCTCAAAGCGACGGACAGACGGAGCGGGTGAATGCCTTGTTGGAGGTGTACTTGCGACACTACGTGAGTGCAAACCAACGAGATTGGGTGAAGTTGATGGATACGGCACAATTCTCCTACAACTTGCACCGCAGCGAGTCGACCAACACGAGTCCATTTGAGTTGGCGACGGGGCAGCAACCTTTGACACCTACGACGGTGGCAACGGGATATAGAGGCAACAGTCCGGCGGCCTACAAGTTTGCTAAAGGCTGGCACGAGAAGATGGAGATGGCCAAGTCTTACTTAGCCCGCGCTAGTAAGAAGATGAAGAAATGGGCGGACAAGAAGAGGCGGCACTTGGAATTCGAAGAGGGAGACATGGTGATGATCAAGTTCTACCCTCATCGCTTCAAGCATCTCAAGAACGTGCACAAGGGACTGCTTCGCCGCTATGAAGGGCCATTCCCCATCGTGAAGAGGATTGGCGCGGTGGCATACAAGGTTGAGTTGTCGACGCACTTGGAGATCCATCCGGTCTTTCATGTGAGCCAACTCAAGCCTTTCCACGAAGACAAGGATGATGAGCAACGAAGAGAGTCGCAGCGCGCTCCAACACTCATCACCAGTTGAAGAAGTCATGGCGCGTCGTGTCATTCCTCGTCGTGGCGTACATCCAAGCTTTGTGGAGTACTTGGTCAAGTGGCGCAACCTTCCGGAAAGTGAAGCAACTTGGGAGAAAGAGCTCACGCTTTGGAAGAACAAGGACTTGATCGAGGCATTCCATCAAGAGGACGCGACGAGGGCGTCGCGAGCATAGGTGGGGGAGGATGTCACATGTGGCCGATGACATGGCGCCAACAAGGTGACAACAAGGCTGCACATGTGTCATGCATGGAAGACTAGTAGCATAGAGATGCTCCTAGGATTCTCCACCTTAATAGAGAGCTTAATGGTGCACTTATTAGCTACATTATGGTAGTATTTATAGAGTGCATAATGGGGGGACTTAATGGGTGTATTGATGTAGTAGAGGGACATTATGAGGGGCATTGATGCCTTGTATGAGGAGAGGCCTATATAAGGAGTCATCTCCCTCACTTGTAACTCATTCCATCATTTTTTAGAGTAATACACACTAGAGAGTTCTCCCAATCCTTTGTCTTGTGTTCTTGTTCTTTGCTTTCAAGTGAGTTGAGAGAAAGGCTGCCTAGCGCTCTAACGGATTTGAGAGCTAGGGCCGCACGATCGAGAGTAAGGTCGTGACAATACCCACAAACGGAGTGTTGACATCAATTCCAACATCTCTACTCTCATCGGATATCAAATTGAACGACCACTCCCACCGAAGTCAAGGCCACCCAGAGAACTAGTAATTTCGGCAAAATGACACATTCTATGTGGCTGTGGTTAAATCACTCGAACAAATTTCTAAACCCTAAATGAAGTGACGAATTATCTCACCGTTCATATTCTGATGGCCAGAAAACAAACAAAAAAACCCCTTTCATTTTTCACGAAACAACACGGAATGTAGTTGACAACCGATCATCAAATGCAAGAGGGAAAAAAGCACAGGCCTAAAGCAATAATAACTAATAACCATGCAACGCATGACTAAACTAATCGATGAACTCATGGTGTCGCATTCCAGGTCCAAGGCATGTAATAATAAATGAGTTCCATCCACCCCTTTGCCGCTTCTCCATAGTCGTGCAAGCATTGTGCAACAAACTGCCGACTGAGAAGGGAGAACTGTGACATGTGCAAGAAAATCCGGCGCACACTGAAAAAATGAAAAAGAGAAGTGGACAAATCCAGCTAACAAGCACACATACATGGGTTTTCCTTGTTTCCAGCTCGATCTAAAAATGAATAGAAAGTGTCAATGATGAAATAAACCAACAAAAAACAGGCAGGCAGATCAGATCACTTCAGCAGGACACTCAAACAAAACTGTTACCATCAAACGGTTAAATGCTGCAGGCCGCTCTCTTTCTTTCACACATTAACACCCGCCAACATGAACTCTAACTCCAAATGGACGATGGAGCAAGAATCCATGAAAGCATACCTGTCAGATGTCACACATGGATGAATTTGACACTAAAACTCACTCCTCAAATATCCAGGTGCAGCACAGAGAAGAAGACCACTGAGAAACAGCTAACCAAGAAAGACGAGCTGCCCGTGTGAGAACTAGCTTTCTCCTTACAAGTACAGTTATTGAAGAGAAAAGGCAATCCACTCATTCCACTATGTTGGCCAGCAACATCTAGTTGTGTTTTTGACATCCATTTTCCTGTTTAATAATCGAACAGCCTTTTGAGCCCTACTTTCCTTTCCTCACATGGAATGAAAGCATTTCTTCCCCACCACATGGCCCTTATGGTTATGGGGGGGCCATCTCAGAAACTGAGAAAACTTCTTTTGATAAGAGAAACTGAGAAACTGAGAAACAAAACACAACAAAACAAAACAATGCATAGTTCAATTATGCAATAACTCCTCCTCAATGCCCCCATCTGCCTCAAATCCTTGCCTGTCCCTTCCATCCATCAAGTTTCAGTTGCAACATTCTACTCTGACAATACACCAACTTAGCTCACCTGCTACCACTACACTACGGCCACAAACTGAAATTGGCAGCAGGTGGCTAAATCCCATAAGCTCAACGAATGATTAATAGACAATCAGGCAATGCTAATTCTGCTGCACAAGCTTTAACCCTATCCTATCTTATTACAAATGGGCAATTGAGCACAATGGCAAAACAGCATTTGGGTAAACCAGAGGGATAGGGAGAGCACAGTAGCAGTTCAATATTTAGAAGTTAGGACAAAGATAACCAGAAGCCAGTTTCCTTGAAGACCCTGAACTGATAATAAATCACACCCTACCAGTGTATATACGTTCATCTCAAATAATTCAATCTAATCAAGAAAAGGGGGAATACAGAAACCTACTGTGGAATCAAGTTTCTCAGGCCTATCAATCAGATTTACAACAGTAAGTAAGTATAATGATTCAGAATCATTTAACACGCAAACTTGAAAAGACAAAAAAGCTTGGAGTTCCATAATCTAACCAGACCAAGGAGAAACCGCAGCCGAGGCAAGCACAAAATTGAGAGCACAACGCCACTGGAGTTGCCCACCATCACCATGGCTTGCTTCAAATGGGAGAGTAACCAGTTTTGGTAGGGCTCCCGCCGACGAATGAGAGCAGCCCACCCCCACCGGCGTCTACCTCGTCCACATACAAATCCTCCGTCCCTCTAAACGCGGCGTGCAACAGGACAATCGCGAGTCCAATCAACACGGAGACCAACACGTTCAGCCACACCCCGGTAAAGATCAAGGCGACGACGGTGACGACGGCGAGCAGGCCGAGCACGATGCGATCGTCGACGGTGCGGCGGAGGAGCACCAGGGGCTCGTCGCGGAGGAAGAAGAGGAAGAGCCAGGCGACGAAGACGATTAGGAAGACGATCATGGAGAAAGGGTGCCAGAGGAGGCTGACGAAGAGGATGAAGAGGACAGCCATGGCGTAATTGACGCGGAAATAGGCGAGGTTGCGTTTGATTCGGACCATGGCTTCTCCGATGGAGAAAGGGCGGGCGAAAGAAGAGAGGCTGACGAGCTCGCGCCATGGACGGCGGGTGGCGTAGAGGGAGGTGGAGCTGGCGGCGGCGCGTGAGAGGAACGTGCTCGGTGCAGGGGTTATGAAGGAATCGTAGCCGTATGAGGTCGGCGGAGGTGGAGAGGAGGAATCGGAAGCCATGGATTGTCGTGGGGGAGTTTTAGAGCTGTCTGAAAATGGCAATCTTTCTTGGAAGTGCTTGGGGAAGTTCAAAGGAACTCTCAATTGAATTCCCCAAGGACAAATCTTGTGAATAGTCAAAAGAGCTATTTCCAAAAGCCCGATATTTGTTGGCGGTAAGCCCAGACAAACGACGCCGTTGCGAGATACTTAACAAGGAAGTTGTATTTGTTTTGAGGGTAAATACAATTTAATATCCAAACCTTTCATTTTAAACAATATAATAGCCAAACTTTTTAGAAAACAATCTAATATCCAAATCATCAACTTTCCGTCCGTTTGACCGGTACTTGACACTTCAAAAAAGCTTTGTTTAGGGGAAATTGTCACAATACAGCTTTGTTTTCTTGTTTTAGCATTGCAGATGACTGAATATTTAGATATTCTATACCATCTGGCGGAGTCATGGAATTCTCGGGTTTGGAACCACGATATATTGGTGGTTTTTCAGAGAAGACCACGAGAATTAAGGAGAGAGCTAGTGAAAAGTCATTCGTTAGTGGCAAGGTTGTCAATCCGCGGGTCACCCATTTTGATCCTCGCTAGATAAGAAAAACGGGCTGCACGTACCCGCCGGGTCGATCGTTATAAGGTACCGGGTTGGAGGTCAAATTGTATCATTTTTTCTTTGGTTTGCGAAATGCGCCTATTTTCCGATTTTTCTTTTCGTCTAACTCCATCTTTGGAATCCTAAGTTGAACATTTGAATATATATGTTATATAAGTGTGTGTGAATTTTCACTATATGTTGGATCTAAGTAGGACATGTTATTTTGGTGGAATATTATATGTTATAACTCATATGTTAGATGATATTTGATATAATTTATCAGGATAAGTACAATATAATGACTCTTTCAATATTTCCGAGTTAAAAAGGGTGACCTATTAACTCTTGACCCACTAGCTCTACCTGGTCCGGGTCAACCCGCGAATTGACAACATCGGCTAGTGGTAAATTGCGTGGGAACTAGGGCTGGGTCATGGGTTGAGATGAGATCATGTGAATTAGGAGGTGTCTTAATTACCTGATTAACTCTAATTCAGCTTTTCATTTAACTTTTTATTCAACTTACCTAATTTTAGGAAGGATAAGGTGGTAATTACATTATTTATTTATTTAGCAATTATATCTAAAAAATAAAATAAGTCACTAGATAATATCCCTCTGATAGTGTTCTTTTCCAGCTGTCTCAGCGCGTCTCCTCTCATTTGTCGCCGTTACCGGTCCTTCTCTAGGCAAAAATTCTCATGTGCTTTCCGGCTGCGTTATTTTTCACTGAGAATTTTCCCAACTGCAGAGAGATGTCGCCATTCTCGATCCTTTTCTGGGAAAAATTCTCAAGTGCTTTTGAGCTGTGTTATTTTGCATTGAGAGTTTTCCCAAGTGCAGAGAGAGAGGTCGTCGTTCTTGGTGCTTCTCTGGGAAAAATTCTCAAGTGCTTTTCAGGCACGTTATTTCCCACAAGGAATTTTCCCAAGTATAGAGAGACGCAAACAGAGGAGGATTTTTCGGCGGTAGCAATTTTGTAGTGTTTGTCGGTCTATTCTGATGTTTATAATTCAATCTATAACGTTTTTTTGTTTTTAAAAAGATGCACCACATCTTAACTTTCATTCAACACCATATAGGGTTCGAAAAGTCCCTAACAGTCATACAAAAGGAAATGATACAAATGGGGGTCATAAGGCGAAATACCATGCACCCCCACAGACAAGGAATGGCCACAACCAGCTAAGTAATCTCCACAATGGCTGAATGACGGTGAGTAGAGCTCTCAGCACCCGTCACCATCTTAACCATGCATCTAGAGTCAAGCTTCACTCGTATGTCCCGGGAGCCGAGGTCCCAAGCCACTTGAACACCTTTAACGGCTCCTCTCAACTCTGCCTGAGTTATGGAGCAGTATCCCAGGTTACAAGCGAACGCTGCAATGCAACGTCCTGTATGATCTCAAAGTAAGCCGCCAGTTGCAGCTTGACCAGTGTTAAGGAGTACACAACCGTCTGAGTTGATAGTGATCCACTCGAGAGGTGGCGGTTTCCAAGAGATCTCAACCTCTGTTCTTGTGGGCAGGAAAGGCTGATGAATGAGCATATCCTTCTCCAGAGCCATCTGCTATATTAATCTAGGCTCCGAGAAGCTGAATGAAGGTGTCGGTGGTGACTGTCTTATTGCTAAAGACTCTATCATTTCTGGTCTTCCAAAGAGACCAACATGTAAGGCCAAAACTCAATCCGTAGTCCGGGTATCGCAATAACCATTCCTCTAGGGACAGACCGAAATTTTTTTGGTGATCACAAAGCTTTATGGGTGCATCAATATTAAAGTGGGAAAAGGGCAGTCCCGCAACACATGCAGGACTGTCTCAGCAGCCATGTTGCACAAGGCACAACCGTTGGTGGTGGAAATGTGTCTCCGGCAACGTTCATCGTTGGTCAGCAACCTCTCCCTTGGCGCAAACCATAAGAAGTGCATAGTCTTGGACGCTCCCCTCCAGCTCCAGATCTTCCTCCAATCCACCTCAGAAAGCTCCTCTTCTCGGTTGCAAGTGATGGTGTAGGCTAATTTAACCTTGAACTTTCCGTTCAGTTGCGGTCCCCAAAAAGCCTCTTCCTCACCTGCGTCTTCTCTCGGGGGTTGGCTAACTAGGACCTGCATGGCAACCTCTCTTGTTAAGAACATGTCAATAAACGATTCATTTCACGCACCTTGTTCTCCAACGAACACCGCGACGAGAAGGGAGGGTCCAATGGCCGACGCCTCCTCGCGAACATGATCAATAAGAGGGTTTGCTGGTCAATCCATCGATCAGTCCAGAATGTCGTACCCTGCCCATCTTTCACACACGTGTTTGTTTTCCCCACCATCATGGGTCTTACTTTCTTGATGCAACGCTAGATAGTAGAGCAACGCCTTGCCAACTTCCCAGTCAAGACACCCTATGTTGTCTTGAAATATTTTGCCTGTAACACCTTAACCCACAACTCATCCTCGTTCTTTACAAAAAGCTAAGCAAGTTTAGAGAGGAAGGCAATATTTAATTCATGAGTTTTTTTTTTACTCAAACCACCCTTTGCTTTTGGATTTTGGTTGACAGACAACCTCCTAGTGAACCAGATGCATCTTTAGCTTATCCTCATTGCAGCCCCAAATGATCCGTCGGATTCGCTTGTCAATCTCATCACAGATAGACTATGGAAACAACGTGGACTGCATGGCATACGTCGGAAGAGTATTAAGAATCGAAGTAGCCAGTGTCACACGTCCCACAAATGACAAGCTTCACTGCTAGGTTTTTATCCAATCTCTCCAGGATGTATCTATATGTTTCCTTCGTTACTCGGCCATGAAGTATGGGCACACCAAGATAGAGTCCCAGATCCTGGGTAGCAGGGATGCCAAGAGTTCTGATAATGTCGCCCGATAACACTGTATTTGGACATGTTTTTCTCGTCATTTCTTGATTGTTTAAGCTTGCATTTTCGCTCTCATGACCTATTTTACGCTAGGTTGTGTTGGTTTATGATGTTCAGGTCATAGTACGTAAATGGGTGCGAAAGAATGAGTTTTGGCACGTTTTCAACCGATCGGGCAGAGAGCAAGAAAAAGTTACGACCAGACCTTAAAAAGTTACAATCAAGCTTTTTAGAAGGAGAATACATATAGCTAACCCTAATGCAACAATCAGTCTAGGGTTAACTCGTAGGAACTCAAAAGGCAATGCACCTAACTAAGGCAAAATGCTAATCCGATCCCTACGACACGTATCCTTTAGGATCGGTGGATTCTCATCATCCATCTTGTTGCTGCAGCTGGATACTACTCTCTTGGTGTGTTGTTTTTTTTTTTTTTTTTACTTTTCAGTGCATGCCTCTGTTCTCAATAATTTACCCTTCACATGCAATTAATTTTGTATCCGATGGCTACCGTTCTTGCTATTGTGTCAATGTTGAATGTGGTGAAAGGAAGATAAGGGGTTTTGACGGTGGTGGATTTGGGGAAAAGCAGGTGGGAGGAAGAGGATGAAGGTTTGGGCGGGTCAAATATAGCAGAAGATAAATGTTGGGTTATGGGTTGGGTTGACTTTTAATGATATGGCGGGTCGAGTTTTATTTTGTGATCATCAAGCGATTTCGTTTACCACATCAGCATTTAACGGACTTCATTAACGGAGTTGAACAGAGACTAACAGAGAGTAACCAAACATGACATGTACTAAAGTTAATGCCCATTATAAATATTAATTTTTTCCCGTGACTAAACATGAAACGTTTTATTAAACCCAGTGTCTAAACTTGAAATTTAACCATCGTTTATTATTTTGAGAACTTAAGCATTTTTGCCTATTTTGATCGCAAAGTTACGATCATATTAAGGTATTTTCGAAAGAATGTGTTACATACTTTGAAATTCAAATCCAACGGCTAATCATATGTTAGAACTTAGAAGGGATAGACCACCCAGAGTGTTACACAGTTCATACCACCTTCCCATTCATTGCCCCATATCGACATCTTAAAACTACTACTTACAAAATTCCACCCTTGAGAAAACTACGTTCTGAAGACGTAACAGGTAGCTGAGAGCCTGAGAGTGCTGGAACTATTCACCTAATTTACAATCGCCCTGAATACGACCGCTGAGATTAGGATGGTACACAAAAAGCCTAGAAGCAAACACAGCGTTACAGAACAACACAATTTCAACCGCGGCCCGCAGAAGGAATACGAGCACAAAACGTGAAACCAATCGCACAACTGACAACTGGCTAATCATGTCTGATCAAAACACTCTGTATCCATTCCCTGCAGCAGCAGCAGCTGCTGCTGCTGCTGATGCCAAAGCTTCCCTGATGATTGCAAAGCCAACCACCAAATAAAGATCAAATAAGAATTGCCTTCAAGACCTTCGCTTTAAAGGCGAAGTATAAACCGCACAGCATTCAATTACCTTAAGGCATCTTGAAGGTCCCTATTGCTCGAGTCCAACCGCAGCCCAAAAGCAAATGACTTGGCAGCTTTCCGAAACTCCTGCATGAATTCAATCACCAATTACAGGAAGGCTGACAAAATTTGTTACGAAGGAGTGAAAGAAAAAGAACAGATAGAATAGAAGGATAAACTGGAAATGAACTCACTTTGAGCAAGTTCCAGGCAATGCCTTCCCTGTAGTATGCCTTGGGCCAGTCAGGCCTCAGCATCATACAGGCATGCGCATCGCTTAAAGCTTCCTCACCTTCCTTTAACCGCGCCCAGCATAGGCTTCGATTCGACAACATTGCAGCTGCATCAGGAGGAAATGCTTCACTGGCCTGCATTATTCGTATTTGACAAAACAAAGCAATGATAAGCTTCTTTTGGATGCTTAACGAACCACACGAGTGCCTCTATATTTGCACACCAACCTGAGTGTACCAAAAGACGGCATCAGAATAATCATTCCTAGTGACTGCGTCTTTCCCTCTTGATTTAAACAGCAAATACCTTTCCAAACATATGATGTCTCTCTGCAATCCGTAAAGAGAGTCATGTCAAAAGAAAAGGGTACTTGCTCAGAGTGGCAACGATGACAACAACAACCGGTATTACCTTGCTTGCTTGCTCGTCAGAATCTACATACTGCTTTATCCCATCATATGTCCAATTCAGCACATCCGGATTAGGTGAGCTTACAGGGAACAGAATCTCAGCAGCTTCGGGGCGATTTTTGAATGCAGCTATTTCAATTGGTTTCATACCAAACTGTACAGAAGGAGAAAAGTAAAGAAAAAAACATTTTCAGATTGGTTGAAATTCCTATTCACTTATTCGCCAATTGCCATGTGCAAGCAACAAAATACGGACATAAGGAGCGGAGAAGGAACTTACTGCATTAGTCGCATTTGGATCCGCTCCTGCTCTTAACAACTGTTTGATGATCTCGGTGTTCCCCTGCATGACAGCAGCATCCAATGGAGACATTCGGAGCAAGCTTAAGCTCGGACTTAAATTCGGGTCAGCTCCAGCCTAACAGAACATAAAGACCAGTTATGACTCAAGAGCACCAGACATTAAAATGATAGATCAAAACAAAGCAGATAATAGATTTCTAAAGTAACGAGGGAAAAACTATGTATGATGGTTCAAAAACAGAACACAAATTCTGACTTCAGGCCACAGTACAAAACTGTACCTTCAACAGTAGCTTCACACACTCGCTACACCGCCCTATAATTGATGATACTAATGGAGAATATGCTTGAAAAACAGCAATATTCGGCTGCACCAAGAATATAATCACAGTCGAGCAGGAAGGATCAGTGAAATTGAAATTCTGGCCTCTTCATCTTTTTCACTTGCTAAATTACACGAGCCATAGAAAAAGAAGCATAACCTAAACGTGGTCAGGCCAAAAGACAACCATGGGCCACAAAAGAAACATGGACTAATGATGCTTACATCAGCATTGTAATGCAACAAAGTTTTAACGATGCCTTCATTTCCGGCTCCAAAATGCAACGGGGTGCCAAAACTGGATTTTGCATTCACTTCAGCACCTTTCGACATCAGAAGTAGCACCGATCTTTTGGATCCTGCAAGATTAAACAATCAACAAATCTCTTTCAGAGAAGACGACAACAATGGCATCATGTCACCACCCGAAAAACCTCATTTCACACAGAACACCCATGCTTTCCGACCAAGGAAACTACACCTCAAACCATAGCTAGTTGATAGTGCAGGCCAACATCACTTCCATCGGGCAAGAAAGATATTAACCGAAGAAACTATCGTAAAGACGTGGAAAATCACAACTCGATTAGGCAAGGCATGGTATCATTGGTACTGCCAAGGAAGCCTGCTTCAATTTCAGTACAAGGCATATTAAGATTTATGGAAAGTAAAATCAAGAGCATGGTATATTCTAGAATAGTAATTCTTGGTAAAAACCAATTTATGAGGCACCTATTCCCGCAGCGTAATGCAATGGTGTGAACCCCTGATCATCAGTAGCCGCATTAGGATCAGCGTTGTTGTCCAAGAGGTACTCGGCGGTGCAGTTGTGATGGCCTAAAATTGCTTGATGCAAAGGAGTCTCCCCTGTGAATTACAAGACAGTACCCTTACTGTTAATCAAAAGACGAAGACTCTATAGGCAATGGAAACCGTTCCTATCACAAAGCACGGAAAAGACCCAGAAACGCAAATATTGCCTTGAGTAATATGGATGAAATGGATACTTCTCCAGGCCTTCCGAATCAGACTATAGTCATGAAGAGTGGTAACCAAGCAGCAGAAGACTGAGCAAAAAGTTGATGCGATGAGCAGAGTGATACCTACCTAAGGCATCTCGGATATCAACAGGGAGTCTGAGTTCGTCGAGGAAATATTTGCAGAGAAGGGTCTTCCCTCCAACAGCGGCATAATGGAAAGCAGTTCGACCTTGGTCGTCTTTAACGCTCTCTACGGGCTCCCCCAGAGCACTCGCCAACCCTGCAATGGCAAATCAATCGAACTGAGCCTGCCGGGGGGGGGGGGGGGGGGGGGGGGGGGGGGGGGAAACCCTAGAGAAAGAAGAAAAAAAAAAGATGTACTACTACAAGATTGCTACTTACGCCTGACGAGTTGAAGGTCTCCGGAGTAAGCCGCGGAAAGGAAGTGTGCAGCTCCTGGATCGCCTGGTCAGATAGATAACCCGTCATTAGTTTGAAACTGTAATTTGTCAGGAACTGGAGTCCTGCCGTGCCGGCGAAAGAGACAAAGAGACGGAGCGACCTGAGAAGTTGGAGATGAGAGGGCGAAGAAGTTTGAAGCCTCTGGAAGGGAAAATATCGTCGTCAGGGGAGATGGGAGAGGAGCGGAATGCCATCGCCCGATTTCGATCAGTTGAAGGGTTGTGGTGAAGGTGCGGGAAGTGGAGGGAGAGAGAGGCTGAGCAAAAGGAAAGGAGTGATATAGGAAAGGGGCGGCAGAATAGGGACAAGAGAGGAAATCGTGGTGGGGTTGAGGAGGAGGTATGGGACTTAATTCCCGCCTTCTGTATTGACGTCAGCGGGTGATGGGGGTTGGGGCTTGTGCTCACTGCTCTCTCAACTCTCCTCGACAGGACGTACGGCCAGGGGAGAGAGACCCTTTTCTTCTGGCTTAATTGCAAGTTTGTCACTCAAATTGCTATAAAATTTCACGTTTGCCACTCAAATTAATTTATTCCATTTATAGTCACTCCAATTAGTTGAACAGTTCAAGTTCGGTCACTCTCCGTTAACTTTGACTGACGTGACGGTCAACTCTGACAGTTGACCGTTAAATGTGTGACGTGGCAAATAAAAAATAATTAAAAAATAAAAATTAAATTTTTAGAAATTACACATCATTATCACAAAGAAATTATCACAAAAACAAACTAACAAAAAATTCCTTCCAGATTTGTGACAAACATACCACAATCTGCTTCAGCCTGCTGTTATCTTCCTTGAGGTAATTCAGCTCGAGTTCCAGCTCCATTGTATATGCCTATTTCCTAGCCCTCGACCTTGCTGCAGATTCTCTGTTCTTGATCATCCTACGCTGCCTTCTCTCCACCAAAACCTCCGGCGGCCCGTCGATGATTCTGCTGAACTCACTCGACGATGCTTCCCCAACATTATAAGCTTTGCTAGGGTTCATCATCATGTGGTAGGAACCAAAGCAGCCGGTCACATTCGAGAAGTTGTTACCATTTGTACCATGGAAAGACCCTAATGTTGGTGCCTCCAGTTTCAGCTGATGTAGCACTGTAGATGATGATGATGATGGTGAAGTAGTTGCACTGCTTGGTGGTAATTTTGCAGCAGCTTCTTGAACTACACCGGCTTGTACGAGGAATTCCTCCAATGTCATGTTTCCTAAAGACTGTTGTCTCTCATGGTCATGGGGGATCACATTGGTGCTGTACGTCTGCGGGTTTCAAGTGACTGGGAAAATGGATGGTCCTCCATCCATAGGTGACGAACTGGATGGTTATGCAAGCGTCATTGGCGATGTGGACGTTGGCTCCCATGCCGTCTACGGTCTTGAAGCTGTTCATGATGAGCTCCTGCTTCAGCGTGATCACCATGTCCCTCTCGAACACGATCCACAGCGGCCTGTCCTGGATCACGGCGTGGCGGAGCGTCCCGGTCCGGGCCTCGGATTTACGGGGTCATCGTCGCGAGGATCCGTGACCACGTAGTAGCGGCCGTCTCGGCCACCGATGGCGTTGCGGTGGGATTGCCAGTTGGGGTCGCATCGCCAGCAGTCGTCGATGGGATTGCCCGTGGAACAAAACAAGACAAGTATCCCATTCCCAACTTCCTTCTCGCCGTGCTGTTCCTAATGCTCCTGTAAACAAAGATTCATGGTACGTAACAGATTAACAGCTAATCTAAAGAGAGTGGTGAAATATAACGATTAATGGCTTCTATAATGTGGGAGATGGAGCAATTATGGTTGGGAAGGATTCTTTTTTTCATTTTTTATAATTATAATTTTTTGTGATAATGATGTGTAATTTCTAAAAATTTAATTTTTATTTTTTAATTATTTTTTATTTGCCACGTCACACATTTAACGGTCAACCGTCAGAGTTGACCGCCACGTCAGTCAAAGTTAACGGAGAGTGACCGAACTTGAATTGTTCAACTAATTCGAGTGACTATAAATGGAATAAATTAATTTGAGTGGCAAACGTGAAATTTTATAGCAATTCGAATGACCAAACTTGCAATTAAGCCCTTTTCTTCTGCACGGCAGGACACTTCTCTCTAAACGGCTGCGGATATTATAACATTAACATACGTAATAAATAAATAAATAAACATTAGAATACTCCTAGTGGCGGGTGGCGCACAATCATCCACAACCTGTTATATTAGCGTCACATTATTAACATTTGTGGAAGGTTTTACTCTTTTTCTTTTTCTGAAAATTAACCAACCATATCTCTATCGTTTTAAGTTAGAATTTAATTTTTTTATGCACATTTAAATACGATAAATTGTGTTCTTCAAAGTAATATTCACTTCGGGAATGCATCCTAAAAACTTTATCCAAAATGGGGTTCCCGGCAAAATGGGTGGAATGGGTTTGTAAATGAATATCCAGTTATCCACAACGCATCACACGATCCTTGTTAATGGGGAATTTTCTGGATATTCTCATAGTAGTCGCGGCCTTCGTCAAGGGATCCCCTTTCCCCGTTTCTTTTTTTCATCATCGCAATAGAGCTGATCTCTATGCTTTTACAAACATCACTAGAGAAGGGTTTAGTGAGAGGTTTCTACATGAATGAGGAAGAAAACTTAGGGGAGGTGACCCACCAATGTTATGCGGACGATAATATGCTTTTCTGTGAAGCATCCAACGAACAAGTCAGAGATCTCTTAGCTGTGTTGGTTTATTTTGGGGTTATTTCTGGACTTAAAGTTAATACTCACAAAAGTATGATGTATGTCGTCGGTGACGTTGATAATCCTGAACAGTATGCAAGGATGTTTGGGTGTGGGGTAGGGAACTTTCCCTCTAACTATTTGGGTCGGGTATATACGGATTGCGTAAATTAAAACTCGTACCCAACCTAAAAGAGACAGTTTCCGCAAAAGAAAATCGTCACCCAACTTTAAACATTAATTATAGCGATAAATACAAGTGGTTGGTTCGGGGGCGTGTTTATTTTTGTTCACTCCTACTGGCATATGGTAGTGGATCGCCTTAATTCAGCAAGGAGACTAGGCAACAAAAAAGAGAAAGTAGAAGATAACTTAATAACTATGGTTGAATGTTCTCAATTCACATTATAATATCCTTTGTTTTCAAAAATTTTGTGGTTAAGAGGATGAACCGTAAGACCACTCAAATTGAGGTGGTTCATCAAATTCCATGTACAACCGTGAAAACTATTCGGTTTACCTCTGATTGTGCGCTCAAGTACATCGAATAAATAATATAAATATTTTGACGTCAGCTGAATAATTATAACATACATCAGATTTTGATTTGTACGGTTCAGGCTTCCGCTAAGTAAAGAGTCTTCAACATAACTGCTCCCACGTTCAGAGCAACTAACCGTTGTTAGCTCCTAGACTGTAGTAGACTAGTAGGGATTTCACCACGTTCACTTTACAGCGTTACAGCAGCGTCCCGCATATACATACCACTGCCATTAGTCTGGGACGCAGGCACACCAAAATACAGGTAAAACACTACCTGAGCGCTGACTCGCACCAGTTTAGCAGTTAGAGAAACGAGATAATGAACGCAAAAGTTGGAACCAATTCCAGGCTACTACTTCCAGTTCTAGTTCCAAGTCAGAAAGCAGGCTGATCCAATATTAAAACAGTCTACGATTGTTCGCTCGAGCTCCTGCTGCTGCTAAAGCTTCTCTGATAGTTCAGAAAAGGGGGGAAAATGAACGGGGGAAAAAAAGCTAAATAAAAACAAGAACAAAGCTGAAACAGGTAGCTGAAAACAACCAGTTTTGTATTACCTGAAAGCGCCGCGAAGCTCTTTGTTCTCAGGGTCTAACTGAAGTCCAGCAGCAAACATATCAGCTGCTTTCTGAAAATCCTGCATTCATCGCATCGTAGTTTCAAGGGCTAGTCGTCTATGTCTGTCACCAAGTGAGGGGATACAAAAGCTAAAGAAACAGAAAGAAAACCTACTTTGAGCAAGTTCCAGGCTATGCCAGCCCTGTAGTATGCCTTAGACCAGTTGGGACTCAGTTTCAAGCATTCCCGTGCATCATTTAGAGCTTCCTCACCTACCTTCAAACGTGCCCAACATAGGCTACGATTCGACAACACAGCTGCATCAGTAGGTGCCATATCGTTGGCCTGCAATTTCATTACCAAGACGGCAGAAGCTGTTCATTTCATTAAGATGAGCCCAAACGAAGAGGGGAGCAAGTTAAAAATGTTTTATACACCCAACTTACCATACTGTACCAAACCATGGCTTCAGCATAATCCTTACGGTTGACTGCGTCTTTCCCCTTTGATTTGAACATTAGAAAACGTTCCTGATTTATCATATCTCTCTGTGAGCAATGAAGAACAGTCATAAGGTGGGTGAGTGTACTATACCCATGGAAATGGTAAGTTGAGAGGAAAAATGAGAAAGCACCAGTACTACCTCTATGATATGACCTACAGAATTCACGTACTCTTTTATCCCATCAAAGCTCCAATTGCGCACCTTGGGATTAGGTGAGGTGAGTGGGAACAGTACCTCAGCAGCCTCGGAGCAATTTTTAAGTATAGCAGCTATCTCAATTGGTATCAATCCATACTGCTCAGACAACAAATATGGGTGATAATTTTTCTCCAACAGAGATTAATCAATCAGTCGGATGGTGCTTAACTTCCTTGAAATGCCTGATTACTTATACTCCATCTGCAATAAAACAAACTTGACAATATGGAATGAAACAGAACCATACCACATCAGTCTTGTTAGGATCTGCTCCTGCTTGTAACAACAGCTTGATGATCTCTGTGGTACCCTCCATGACAGCAGAACCCAGAGGAGTCATTCCAAGCTTGGTTAGGCTTGGAGTTAAGTTTGGATCTGCTCCACCCTTGGAGAAAATAAAGCCAGTGTTATAATTTATGACTATGGAGCAAGCCAGCCATCACATAGTTGATTTCCCTAGAAAATACATGAAACAGAAAGCACAAAACTCTGATGACTAAGTAACTAAAGCAAAGCTCGGGATCGATCCAAGTGGCCAGAATACACCTTCAGTAGTAGCTTCACACAGTCGAAAGATTGCAGGGAAATCGCCATCATCAGTGGAGAAAATGCATCAAAGACAACCATATTAGGCTGCACCAAAATTAGAAACACAAGAGCAGTCAATTGACTGACCAGTTAAATGCCCAAAACATCATTTGTAAGCTCCTGAATCTGATGATAAGACACCAAAATATACGTTTAAGCGACTATGTAGATGCAACGAATAAAGAACCCGATACAAAGAAAGGATAGGCATGATGCATACATTGGCCTTGTGATTTAATAATGTTGAAACCATTGCTTTATCTTGAGCTGCAAAATGCAATGGGGCGCCCATAAAAGATTTTGCATCAACATGAGCACCTTTTGACAACAGAAGGAGCGCCAGTTTCTTGAATCCTGAGGCAATTTAGTTAATCAATCAAACATCGAACCCTACCAAAAGGCAAAAGCATAAACTTTTGGCAAACACAACGAATTTCGTGCCACGACAAAAACATGGTCATTTTGCAGTACACTAATGATTATGAACCGGACACCCACATCCTAGATTCATAACAAGGTAGCAAAGACACTGGAGTGAGGAGGAAGCAAAAATGAAACAGACAATCTTATCTAAAACAGACCTCTTGAAGCAGCATAATGCAACGGCCTAAAGTCCCCGTGATCAGCAGCTGCGGCATTTGGATCAGCATTATTGTCAAGAAGGTACACTACGGTAGAGTAGTTATCGCCTAAAATTGCATGGTGCAAGGGGGTCTCGCCTGTGAAAATCACGCGACAATTCCAACAGTTAAAGGTCTAACAGTGCTCCATGACAATTAGTAACACACTTCCGCCAAGGAAAAAGAGCAACGAATCATCTTTTTGGTCATACAACAAAACCTTACTACCAATAATAGTATAACATTTATACTAGATGATTAACTGAGACGCGTTTGACAAGCATGTAATCAGCAACACTTATTTCCAGAATACATGCTTCCCGACATGCAAAAGTGATTCTAGTTGCTTGCCACTGTGGCTCCTGGTTGGTAGATTAATTTGGTATGAATATCAATTAATCTTACAGTAGAACTAGCATGCAATAATTCATCCAACTATTACGTATGATCCAATATCACATTATGAGTATTTGAAGTTCATGTAATTCGCCAAGAGGCCAGATTCGAGGGAACCAATCACAGGACCACAACAGCAATCATGCTTAGCGGTTTGAATGGAAAGCGGATGAGAAAGGGAAATCCGAAATCATACCTGATCCATCCCTGATGTCAACAGCGACTTTCAATTTGTCAAGGAAAAACCTGCAGACATGGGTCTTACCCCCAACTGCAGCGTAATGGAAAGCGGTCCGGCCATTATCGTCCCGAACGGATTCTACTGGCTTCTCAAGCGCACGAGCCAGCCCTGAAACAGAGCGAAATTAGCCAACAACCAGTGGCTAGCTAGGACGAAAAGGGGGGAAACGTATATACAGAGAAGGGAGAGGTAGATTACTCCTGATAAGCGGAAGGTCTCCTGAGAAAGCTGCGTTAAGAAACTCGTCTGCCCCTGGATCATCTGCTCAAGAAAACAAAAACAAGTGAAAAAACCTAAACGATAATTCAACCTGGTGGAGCTGTGATTCGCCGGGGAAGGCGACGAAATCGGATACGTAACTGGAGAACCGAAAAACGGAAGCCAAGTCCGCCGAGAAATAAGCGAGCAAGAGAAAGAACAAAAAGAAGGTTTCGGTGATGCGTTTAGTTTCCTTCCGCATTACTCTTCCGTTACTCGATCGCTCCGGTCGGCAAAGGAAATGAAACGGAGTGGGAGAGGGAGGGAGGGAGGGAGAGAGCGAGACCAGAGAAGTTCTCCGGTTGAGGGCGAAATGGCTGGAAACTTCTGGAGTATGAAAGCATGACTGACGGGCTGCAGAAGTTGGACGTGGTCAGTGACCGGTGAGTAACGGGAGGGAGAGAGGAGACGGGAAGACTGTGAGCGAGCAAACAGCAACTGAGAATAGAAGCACGCAGCAGCCTTTTAGGGCTATAGACTATAGAGTGGTGTATGTAACTTACCTGGTACGGCTCCCGTCTCAGTCTAAAAAGTTAAAACCCACTGAGTGGCTTTTAGGGTGGCTGTGATTTAATTTGGCAGGGACGCAGGGTCACGTCCATCAAGACCATCATTCCGCCCTCGTCTTGGCAACGTCAGTTGACAATAGTTTGATTTAGGGGTGAGGGTGATGGTTGTCTCTCTCACACCTATTGGTAGAATAGGGGTGGAAATAGGTACCATATCGGTATCTCAGTATCAAATATCGAAATTTTGAATATCGAATTATACATTAAAAATAAGCACAATCTCAATCACTAAATGATTTTGGTATCTCAATCTCAATTCCTAAATATTTCGGTATCTCAAACGGTACTTCTGTATCCCAATCGGTATTATCGAACCAGAAATTAATTACCTTGGCAGTTAATAATTAAATATATAGACGAGAGTTGATTGTTTATTTAGTTTATTTTTTTGACAAAAGATAATCATATATTGATTGAAAAAATAGATCATTACATCGTGGTCCTTGGCCAAGACACAAAAGCAGACGAACGACATGTTATTGAGTAAAAAGAAAGGGCTTTACGAGCCACCAAGTGGGTTATCCTGTTATTACGTCAAGCTACGAATCGAACACCGAGTCCCACATGCACAACCAAATAACTCAACACTTCTTGGAAAATGGTCCCCGCTCGACTATCACGATCAAGACCTTGGTTGAGTTCATCGATAACTAACTTAGCATCCCCTTCAAATCTCACCGCCGAAAAACTCCTATGGAGGCACCACAGAATCGCTTCACGGAGGACTAGGAGCTCCGCAAGCATAGGATCATCTATCCCAGGGAACTGAACGCCCACTGCCAAAACAACCTCCGCACCTTGGTCAAGGAGGATCACCCCCCCCCCCCCGGCCGCCGAGTGCGACCAAGTCTGGTCGGCCCATCCCACATACAGAATAAAGACCCAAGTCTTGTACGCCACCATCGCTAAAGACAGTGGGGCGTACCACTAATTCTTTAGGGATGTTAGTCCATTCATACAACTGCTGAAGGTAGTGCCTCATCAGAGCTGGGATCCCAAACTGTTTGCCATCAAAGACAACCAGTTCCGAGATTTCCAAATCCGCCAAAGCACGGCAACGAATGCCATAACTTGATGGAGGCTCCGGATGATAGCCAGTAGGTTTTGATAAAAAGCGGTAGGGTATGACGGGGAAAGCCTTGACCAAGGTGCTCCAAACCAGCATGGTCTCATAATCCTCTAGCCATAGGGCATTCTAGAAAGAGATGCTCCAAAATTTCAAACTCAGGCCAACAAACCGGCCATCTGGGTTGCACCATGACACCTTTCTCGATAAGGGCTTCCATTGTTGGTAAGAATCGGTGGAAGACTTGCCATAAAAAGACTTTCAATTTAGGAGGAATGGGGGAATCCCACAATCGGATCCACCTTTGTCAATCGATCCAGCTAACTGTCGGTATCCATCGACCCTGTCGCTGGTCAACCAACACCGTCAAGTGATACGCTGATTTCACATCGAAGATCCCATCACACGTGTCGTGCCATAATAGCTTATCCTCCATATCTTGGCAAGGTAGCGGGATGACTTTAATCGCACGACAAGTATTTGGATGGAACCATTGGACTAACTTTGTGTCAGACCAGCGACCCTCACCAGGACATGAAAAATCCACCACCCTAACATCACCCCCTTTTGGCAACACCCGAGGGTTATAACACGGGGTAGTCGGGTGCAAGGCAGGAATCCACTTATCATGTAACCCAGACACAGTCCGACCATTCCTGGTTTGCCTACGCATGCCCTGCTCCAAGAGTTGACACCCGTAAGGGATACTTTGTCAACCCCAAGAAGGGTGGGAGCGCGCCGTAGTCGTGAGAAAAGTGTCATTTGGAAAATATTTTACTTTATACACCTGAGCGAGGAGAGACCGGGGTTCATTGAGTAGCCGCCACCCAATCTTGGCTAATAACGCCTGATTGAAGTGTTCAAACCTACGGAAGCCCATTCGTCCTTCATGTTTACTACGACACATCCTACGCCAAGACATCCACCTTATATGGGACTGACCATCCTCCACTCACCACAAAAAATGTGCCACAATTCTATACAAAATTCTGCAAATAGTGAGAGGGAGTTTAAAGCAGGACATAACGTGCAATGGTAAAGCTGAGGCCACTGATTTAATCAATGTTTCCTTAGCCTCCCAAGATAATGTTTTCCAAGCCCATCCTTGGAGTCGTGCTAACAACCGCTCATCGACGATTTTGTATCCATCTTAGACTGTGCTATAAGGGTGAGAAACCCCAGATATTTGTCCTGCACTCCTACATCTCCCACCCCCAAAACTTGAGCCAGGAACTCCTAATCAGGTATCGAGATGTTCTTACTAAAACAGACCGCTGATTTTGCCAGGTTGACTCGTTGCCCACTGAGTTCCTGTTACTCGTTAAGCACCGCAATTAGATTAATTTGGGGCAAAGAGACTGAACTAAGAGTATTGAGTTTGATGCAATATTTCAAATCGTGCTTCTCCTCCTCCACCACCCTAGTCCCAAATCCCGAATTCTAATTGTCCTAGTATCCCTATCAAGATCCACTAAGATGAAGTGTCGCCTCCTACAGGAGTTGTCAGTCTTCCATCGTAGTGTCTGCAACATTTGGCTATCATTTATCTGCCGCCAAGAACAATTTCTCCATTGCAGCGTTCACTTCTGCATCTACTCCTGGCATAGAGCTTGTTTTCTCCGATGACGCACAATGTGCTTTCACTGACACAAGATTTTGAGTCGTGCTTCTCCTCTTCCTTAACCTCAAACGAAGTGGTTAACGTGGTAACCGTTTTAACCACTAGTATTTGGATAATTGGTTTAATTTGGTTAAACATTTTAGCTTGTTTGGTTTAGGTGGTTTGATTCGGTTTCAGACACTTATAACCAATCAAACCAAATTAACCAGTTAAATAATTAGCGATATATTTAATATATATTATATAAACATACTTAATACTTTGCATAATCACTTAAGAGTCAAATGTAAGATAATTGTAGTTGTGTCATGTATTTATGTTAACTATAATAATGTTTGATTGATATGTGTTATTGATTATATAAATTGCAAATTGATGCACTAACAAGAAGATTGTCTCTTTTAATGATAATGTTATGTTAAATTGGTTATTTTGGTTAACTAATTAACCAAACCAATTAAACTTTAGTTTGGTTAATTTGGTTATTGTATTAATTTGGACGGTTTGGTTATGATATTGTATTTCATGATAATAGAATTTAGCCTTATTTGGTTTGGTAATTAGCATGATAATCATTTGAACACCCCTACACTAGTAAAAAATGCCTCAATATTTTTTGTTCAAAAAATATATAAAAACTAATATCATTCTGAAGAGCACATTTAATTTAATTTAACTGTGATTTTTAAAACAAGAGAAATATCCTCGGTTAAACATAAAGAATAAAGAGGAAAATGTTATTGACCGGATGATTGTTGGGTTATGTTATTGACCGGATACGGTCCCCTGTAACTCTCTGTTCCTGGCTATCAGATTCCCTTGCATCCCCGTCTGCGATTCTCGGCACCTCCTGCTCTTTGATCTTTTGTCCTCTCATCTCCAACTACTATCCAAATCTCTTGCCTATCATCTTGGATTGGCTAGTCACAGAAAGGAAAGGCAACAAACTAGGCTGCCGCAGTGCCGATCGGTTGCCGAGCTAAAAGGTATCCGTTGAAATTCTAGGGTTCGGAGAGCTTCGGTTGAATCCCGCCGGCTTCTCCTGAGGTACGTTTCACGCTCCTTGAGAATTCCCCTTCAACGTTGGGGTTTATGGCAGGGGAGTCGCAATCGACAATCCTTCAGTTTCAACCAGGAATGACTGCTGCAAGTAGGGGTTGGGAGGGGTTAAGGGACGGACTTCGTTACTCTGTCTGTATCCCAAATTTCGTTTTTGTACGAAACTGATGCCGTTTATCTGCCAGGAAACACCGAGACGGAGCAAAGTTTTCCCCCCTTTCTCTCAGTTCCTTGCGACTCCTTGCAATGGTTTACATTACCTCTTGGGACGAGTTTGTTGAGCGATCAGTGCAGTTGTTCCGTGCTGATCCCGATTCGGTGTGTTTCTTGCTCTTTCATTCTCTCGTTTGTTGTGTTTTCGGCAAGGTTGTAGGAAGACACTAACTGTAAATTTGCTGGGGAGAGGATAATTGAGCTGGTGATCATCTTTTACATGGATTAAGTTCCTGCCATTATAGTTGGTTCCTCTGGCCAGAGAATTGAAAATACTGTCCGAAGGGAAACCATGCTCTCTGTAATGGGTTACTAACTTGTCTTGCTTTACGTTTGCAATTGTTACATGTCATTGAAAATTGTGGGACATAGACTCGGTATGCTATGAAGTACAGACACAGTGAAGGCAAGTTGGTTCTCAAGGTTACGGACAACATACAGGTATTTACTATGGCTTAAATGCTGGATTCCCTTGTTCTTACTTATTGTCATGATGAACAACTACATGGTTAACTCATGGTTGGGATTTCAGTCTCGTCAGTTGTTCTTTAAAGCTCTTTTCTGGTAGGGTGAAAGATGTGGATCCTTTGATGGTTACCTGACCTTTACCTGTGCTTGCCTTATGATTCCCTTAATAGGTGCCTGGCCTTTCTCAGTGTTTTATTTTTGGTGATTCTGATGTCCTAGTTGCGAGTAAACAATGATCTTAAGGATTAAAAGAAAATCTTATTAAGTTTCTGTTTTTGGGGCCTTGCTTTTATAGTTCATTTTCTTTGGTTTTGTTTTCAGTCTCTCGTATGAATTGGTTTGAGTTTGCCGTGGGAGTTGGCTTCCTACATATTTTTTCTTTGATTATTGAGGCTCCTCTTAAATTAATGGTGGCCTTTTGCTGACTCATAAACAACCCTTTGGCATAGAATTGCCCGCGATGTGGATCACATAAATAGATTCATCGACCTTTGATCTATTCACTTGAAGGGATATATAACTATTGAAACTGTAAAACTATTCAGCTACCAGTGGCTAATGCAACATATGCATTAAGCCAAATACTATAGAAACTGTAAAACTATTTCTTATGTTTGCTTATTCTTGGATCTGCTAATGGGTATCTATCATGCTCTGTGTTATTTCTTGTATGGTAAATTCATGAATAATCTATCGTTCTGTTCAACAGGCAAGCACTTTCCAAATTACTGTCAAACTAGCAGTTCCCAATTATGTGTCCAAACACAGCTTAGAGCAATCTTGTTTTTCTTTCTTGAGCATACATGATTATGTTCTATTTCTATGTTCCCACATGATGATTTCTCTAACTGGATGCACATAAATTGTCACAATATTAAGACTATAAGAGAAAACATTACGTTACTTCAGGCGAGCTATACCTGCTGATTCAACAATTAATTAGATGAGTATTCTGTTAAGTTTCTGCTGGTGATGCTTTCCTTAATTTAGGATTTGGGTGCCTTCATTGTAATTGCACCCCAACTCTAAAAGTAGTCTTAAGACATCAAATTATGAATTTTAATTGATAGCATTAGCCCTCATTTAGTATCATCTTGTTGTTGTGGTTGCATTGGTGTTGTGCAAACAGATGTACGACCACAACAGGGGGGAAAAAACAGACAACAAAAACCTGTTTAGTTGGTAAATTTGAGAAATCATAGAAGCTGTCCCGTTACTGCCTTTGTCCGTACGTGAGTTGGTTTGATTGGTGTTATCTATTGTCTTAACTCTAAAAGCGAACAGATTGTCCCCCCTCTCTTACTCACCGTTGTTTCTGCATTTTGCTAGTGTCTCAAGTTCAAGACGGATCAGACACAGGATGCTAAGAAAATGGAGAAGCTGAACAACATATTCTTCACCCTGATGGCTCGGGGCCCTGATGGTATAGTATAACTTTATTAAATTTGCTTGTCTAAGTTTCAACCATTTATCTAGAAGAACAAAAAAATGTCCCACAATACAGTGAATTTGGTGCTTCGACTCTCTGCTAATAGCATAACTTCATTTAATCCGTTGACTATCTGAGTAGTCCCGCCAACTATCCTTTTTTGTTGATTCACAATGTGTTGTGTCTGCCCTTAGGAAGGGCAGCTGTAAGGATAAGTTTTATTAAATTATTGAGTACAATCTCTGACTCGTTCTTACTCATTTTCCTGTTCATTCTTGATCTATAAACATTGCAGCGGATATATCGGAAGTTACAGGAAAAGAGCAGATGGAAACACAGGCGACCAAGAGAGGAAGGGGTCGTAAGCAATAGATCTTGGATCGCTTCTGAGTAGAAGTAGAGCGTTTTTAAAAATTTTAGCACATGATTAGTGAATCTTGAGATGATTATATGTCCTCCTTGCCAGTTGCCGCCTCATGAATATGATTGTCAAAGTGAACCTTTTTGTTTCTATTCTCAGTAAAGCCCTTGTATTTTCGATGCTGACAATGTCAGAACCCAGGTCGGTTGACGTCACAAGCAGAATCAAATTTTTTTTTTTTTTGACAAGAGGAGAACTTGTATTGCAAAAATGTCAAGGTTACAGGGGTTGAGAACCACAATGAAAGCAGAAAACAGAGCAACAATGGAGTCAAATGTGAAAGCAATCTAAATCAAAAGAGAAGGCCAGAAACAGAACAGGAAGTAGATTGAACCCAACAAAAGAATCTCCACAAAAGGATGCTAACATTGAGAACCCAGAACCCCTTGCTTCCACAACATTCAGCACAACACAAGCAAGGTTCCAGCTCGCCCGAAACCAGACAGGCCCATGGCTATTGAACATTGCAACGCCATAAGCCGCCACCTGGGGATCGTTCAGAGACGACCCATCACAGTGAATCTCATGGAAGGGATTACTCGGCGGTGGGCAGGCTGAAACCGGGATGCTCTGAGCTGAAAAGGCCGAGGAAGCCGGAGGCACGGATGACCAGGAACCGGGAAAAATGAAGAATCAACTTCATCTCCAGGAAGCCAGAGAATCAAAGCCAACGAAACCGAAAATGACACCACACCCCACTTCAGTCGGCAGCAAGTCTTCAAGAAAACCAGTGGAAGAAGGAAGGGAGGAAGTAGGAACGGTGAATCTGCTCACCAAAAGAGATGAGCACACCAACAAGGAGCAGAACCCCCAACAGTAAAACACCATTAGAAGCACTCACAAGTTGCAACTTTCAGATCCAAGGAGCAAAGCCAAACCAGATCTAGAAACTAAAAAGAACACTGTGGATAAAACCACTTGGAGAGTGACCATGAAGGTCCGGAAAGAGCCACCATGGGCTGGAGAAAAATGCAGGGCAAGCCAAACATAAAAAAAGAACAAGTAAAAATAAAACATTGGGCCACCGCCGGTCAGCAGAAGAACACCGGCGGCAGCCCTGAGCAGTGAAAAGGCGCTGGCCTTTAGAGAGAAGGGAGAGCAAACGGATTTAAAAAAAGTAAGAGGATATCAAACAGATTGGAGGCCGCAGTTTAGTGACAAGCAGAATCAAATTCGCCGGCAAAGAAATTGCAGCATTGCGGTCTCATAGCTCTGGACTTTGTTGGGTGAATTGCAAGTTTGGTCACCCTTAGCCTTAGCCACCCAAATCACTTTTGCTTCAATTTAGCCATTAATACTAAACATTTATGTCATCCTTGGTCACTCGCCGTCCAATTCTGTTAAATCTGTTCTACGTGGTAGTCAACAATTAAGTTTGACTATTGAAATGGTGATGTGGCAATAAAAAAATTATTTATTTTGTAATATATAAGAAAAATGACATGAAAAAAGATAAGAAAATTTTATGCTCTAACTCCGCCTCTCACTTTTTCTTGTGCTACCGGCTGCTGCCATTACTAGAAGACCCGCCCCTTTCTCCCCTTCCTTTCTCCCCTGTTCCCAGAAGACCCACTGCCGCCGACTGCTGTTACTAGTTGCGAGCAGTTCTCGTAGCATACCTGTTTCTCCCAGGCGGGGCCGTTGATTGCGAGGAGGTGGGGAAGCGAGAAGAGGAGAAGAAGCATAAACAGAACTCCGACCATCTCCCTTTCATCCATCTCGTGCCAGATCTAAACGTCGACGATCTCTGTTTCAATTGCCACCATCAAAGCTGTCCGGTCCAAACTCAGTCGCCTCCTCTGTTTTCTTCTCCTTTGTCGTATGATTCTTGCTATCCATCGAATCACCCAAAGTTTTGATTTCACATTTTAGTAACCAATTGCAAATTTTATGCCGAATTTATTTGTGAAATAGTGTCCGGTTGGCGCAACCAAGTATGGTAAAAAAATGCTTCGAATTTAGCTAAAGAGCAGACTTCGGGTGTCGGGACGACAATAAAGCCTCTTCCGTTTGAGACCGTCGTCGTCTGCCTCTTGTCGTCGGCGTCAAGTTCGTTGCGTCGTCATCGTCGTCTGTCTCTTCTCCAGCTCTGAATTCGCGGTGGCGGCCACGATTTCGACAACCTCTTCTGCGTCTTAGGGGTCGTTTGGAAGTTATGATTCTAGATGAATGATTATTTGAATTCAAGTATTCTCGAGAATCCATCGTTTTTTTGTTCCTAAACTTTATTCAATACATGCATTTGAGGTGGGCCCTCAAATCTCATATCACCCTCAATCACTCATTTTAAATCTCAACAAAAAAGTGAGATTCTTTGAGATTGTTGGCTATAATTTGTTTCACTTTTAGCTCATAAAGTGATTCTTTTCTTTAGAAATTTTAATGGCTACAACTAGGGATGGCAATGGGTCGGGTTGGGTCGGGTTTTGCCAAACCCAAACCCAAACCCATGGGTTTATCTTTGAAAAAAACCCGGGGTAAAACCCACTGGGTTTGAAAAACTCAAACCCAACCCAACCCGTTGGGTATCCGCGGGTTCATGGGTACCCACGGGTTTTGTCGTAAAAAATTTATAATTACAAGTTCTTATCAAAATTAAAGTCAAATATCAATCTCTCAATACAAATTATCCATATATAAAACACCATTCTAGAAAATTCAAGCAAATCACAAATTAACTATACAAATTGTTCAACACCAATCTAGAAAACTCAAAAAAATTGAAGCAAATCACAAATTTTCCATAAATAACATGTTTAATTGAAAGCTTCTTCCTTTCAATTAAGTTTCTTTACTCTCCACTCCATAACATCAACTTCATTCTACACAATTAAAAAGAAAAAATTAGACATGTCTCCACAAACATAAATAAAATTAGTTGTTGAGAATATTAAATATACCAAAAAAATTAATTATATGGGTGGGCGGGTACCCACGGGCCGGGTTTACCTAAACCCAAACCCAACCCAACCCGTTGAATAGTGAACGGGTTTAAACCCAAACCCGGCCCAAAACCCGTCAACACGGATTTTACCCGCGTTGACCGGGTTGGGTCGGGCGGGTACCCGTGGGTTCGGGTTTTGTTGCCATCCCTAGCTACAACCAAACAAGACATTCTTCCAATCATTCTAATTCTTATAATCTTTGTATTTACAATAGATGTATTCATCAAATACACATATTTGAAGAATCTCAACTTCGAAACGACCCCTTAGCCTCCCCATTCGTCCTCCTCGATTTGTTCAATCTCCGGTTGGTTAGCGTCGATGTTGAACCCGAAACTGCTTGGGTCGAGTCTGGCGCAACGCTCGGCGAAGGATCTGTTTTGGGGTTAATGGCGTCGTGTTTCCGAGAGGAGGGTTTGATTTTAGTTTTTCCAATTTTTCTTTTTTAATTTTTGAATTTTTTTATAATATATTAAATAATTTTGAATTAAATTATGATATGGCTGCAAAGGTGGTGTCTATGTGTCAGTGAGGTTGTTGCCACGTTATCATTTTAACAGTCAAACTTAACTGTTGACTGCAACATAGGACAGATTTAACAAAACTAGACAGCGTGTGACCAAAGATGATATAAGTGTGTAATATCAGTGGCTAAATTGAAGCGAAAGTGATTCGAGTGGCTAACCTGTTATAAATAGATAATATGAGTGACCAAATTTGCAATTCACCTAGTTTTTTTTAGCAAATCAGACTTTCATTCATTCCAATCAAATCGAGCGAAACTACAACAAAACCACAGTTACAACAAATCTGCAATAACCACTAGAACAGACAACCAATCTAGGTGGAGAGAGTTTGATCTACAATTACGAGCTACCCAATCAGCTTCCTTGTCTTTTGGCGACCAATGAAAGAAACCGTAATCCAATCCAACTCCCTTAGAATCTTTGAAAATGATGCGATGTAAGCGTAGAAGCGCCAAGGCCAGCCCGCTTGATCATTATGGATTGCTTCCACCAACACCTTGCAATCAAAATGTATCATCGAAGGGACATGGTCAAATGATGCCACTTGACAGGCTTCCATAATAACTCTAGCTTCAGCCTCGATAGTAGAGGAACAAATAAAACTTCCAGCCTTCCCATCACAAATTTGCTCGTTGGAGTCTGTAATAACCACTCCAAAAGCCGTTGTCTGTGAGTTAGTATCGAACGATCCGTCACAGTGAATCTTGCGAAGAATGCTAAGCGGTTGGCACGGTTGTGGTGGAAGAACCCGAGGTTGTGAAGGGGGAGAAGAAGATGACGGCGAGTAATAAGGTTATGCCGCATCACGAAGGGCGTAAATCGAAGTCTTCGTCGGGGACAGGACTCCACGAAAGATATGATCATTACGTGCCTTCCAAATATTCCAGATATAGAAAATGTTTTGCCTGACCTTCTATGAATTCTGCTATCTCATGGCAAAGATCCATTGGGTGAGGTTAAGAGGAGGCGAGCAAGAAGGAGCAACCTTTACCCATGTTTCAGTTGCATGAGGACAAAGGAAAATGCAGTGAATTGACGATTGCTCCTCTGCATTGGCACATTAAACTAAGATAATATTCACCATAAAGGTTTAACAATGACTGTCTTCTTCACCTATTGCACATGAACAACATGTATATAAACCAAATGAGCTACGTACCATAGAATTAAATGAAATTCACAAAAGCTTTCTTCAATTAACTTACAAAGCATGATGGCCAAGCGATCGACTCTGCTACCGAATTTCAATGGTTCGAAAGCTTGCATATGGTCGCACTAAGGTCGCACTATGACACATTGAAGCAAATTATATATTTGCGCAATAAATTAGATATATAGACTGATACAATAATTGTTTTAAAAAAATTTGTCTCTGAAGCCAGGTTTTGTTGTAGTGTTAGTTTTAACTTGAATTTCAAAAATATTTTCACAGATGGAACGAGTTCGTTGTGATCTACAAAATGAAATCCATTTTCAATATATTTTGAGAAAAATTTTCATACCACCTTTGTTTTTTACTCGAATTTTGAAAAAATTTCACGGAAGAAACGATTTCATCAATGATCTATTGGATCTACAAATTTTTATGATAAAAAATAACAGGACCATAATATACCATTCAATACCACCTTGGTACATGGGATGATGATCAATGTGGTAAATAATGGTTCGAATATTCCTACTATCATGTATTAAACTATTTTACACTCTGATATGTTCTTACCATCATGGTACACTTTCATACCACGTGGTATGAATTTATGTAAGCATTACCACCATGACATAGAGTATAGACTGGTAATAAATGTCTCAAATTTTTTTTGTTCAAATATTATTTTAGGGATTTTTTGTTCTAAAATATATCAAAGTGAATATTATTTTGAATATAACAATTAATAAATGTGAAAAAAACCCCGAAACAAAAATAGCTCATTAAATTTATACGGAAAAAGATTAGAACCTTTCATAAATAGTGATGTGACAATAATATTATATGTTATGCACGATTATATACCCTTAAATCATGCAAGTGATCCGCTCCCGGACTATAACCATTTCTGTTTTCAAGTTTCAACCTTGCTCAGCCACTATTGTCCTCCGACCCCGTGCTTGATAATTGTTTACGGAGATGAATTAGTGGATGTTTACGGAAATGAATTGGTGGATATATTTTAATTTCTTAACTAACATTTCGAAAGACTAAGAATCCAAAGATAATCACAAGGAAAAGAAACAAGCGATACATGGGAAAGAGAGAACAAAGTACATATTACCAAAGAATACAACAAAATCGCACAGCTAAATAAGTAGTTTAAGTTTTCACTCTTTACAAAGGTGATGGAGCGATAATGTTTGTTGGGTCTGTTGAAATGATGCCAACTTTCACAACCTCCACTGTCACTATAAATAAAAGAGGAAAAGATTGAGAACACCAAACAAAAACGGTCAATATTTGTGTTAACTAACGGTAAAAAAAAAATTGGTCAAATAAATACGTTGCAAAGGAAAGTTAGTGTAGTTGGGTACATGTCAAAAAAGGAAAAAGATGGTCACTCAACTTTTCTTTTGTCTATGTGTGCTTCACTTTTACAATTTGGAACTCTTTTCGTTTTGGGTATTACTGTTTATTATTAGAATGACATTTTTGAGTAAATGAGTTTGATATTCCAAGTATAGAAGAAAAATAAACATACATATTCAGTTCTAAAATATTTATATGGCTGTTCTAAAATATTCATTTAATTGTGGTTGAGTTCACTATGTACAACATTTTGCAATTACTCGTATTCACAAATCATCAATTATGTCGTTCCATAAAAAAACATCATCAAATATGTCATACATACAATATCCGACATTACGCCACATCTTTCAGGTTGTTGTTAACCACATGAATTGTGTGTGCTTCACGAGGGTTTGCGATTAAACTGCTAACTCTAAACTTCCACACCTCAATTATATATACATATTCATGGTAATCTTGCTACAACCACAATCCTTTCTCCTACTAAATTAATTCATAGACTAGTCCCTTTACTGACGATGTTTTTCATTTTCGTGATAAACTATTTCATTTGCGTTGTGGCGATTTGGCAAAGTTGCGACCAATTGAGCAAGAGAACATTGATATGAAACATATTTTGCCCAAATTAAGGGTTAAAATTATGGACCGTGTATACTTTTAGTGTGCATAAAATTCTACCCCCAATATTGGTGACTATAACCCAAACGTTAAAAAAAATCTATGAGTTAGGTAAAAACCTAGAGCGAATTTCTCATTGTGTTTAGTTGAATTCAAGTTCCTTATTATACACATAGATGAGAGCCTCAACAGTTGATATTACTAATGTAACTATGTTCATGGACGCTTGTTGTTTATGTCATAACGTAGCTATGACGGACTAGCACAACGATGCTTAAATTTCAAAATGCCAAAAGCCAAGAAGTTAAGGTAGTGGAGAATAGAAAACCTAAACCTCACGGAGCATAAGAATAAAGTATGAAAGTTGGGGAGCTGAGTCAGGATTTTTACCAGAACAATGATTTTGCAAGACTCGGGTCCATTTGGACTTTCGAGTCTCTTCCTGCAGTTCCTATCCTACTGTCATTCTGTCTCAATGAAATTTTTTAAAAGGGCAACAAAAATGTTAATTAAAACCAACAGAAAAGGAGAGAGAGAGAGAGAGAGAGAGTAATTAAGAAGCAGGGTCTTTGGGGGCGGGACCCACGGTCTGAAATCTTTGACAGGAGAGGAACGGCAGTTTCGTTACATCTCCTCTTTCACTTTCTCTCTCTCTCTCCACCTCTGCTCTGCTCTTCGTTTTTCCTTACCAATTTTACCCTTTTCCACCATCGCGTCGCCTCTCTGTCTCTCTCTGGGAAAATTTCTTGCAGGTAGAGGAGCAGGAAGAAGGAGAAACACAATAGTGGGTGTGAACAACAAACAAACCCCCTCTCCTCCTCTCCTAACCCATTACAAATTTGGAGATATAAGGGAAAAAGTAAGAGACATGGTAGCTCTGTGTGCTAATTGTTCCTGGGTGTGAATTTGCAAAGCCATAAGTCTTACGTATTTCACACTTCTCATTTCTTTTACTAGTCTATCTCAAGTTACCCAGACCGCGGACGACGACGATGAACCCAACACTCCTCTCTATCTCTCTGTCTTCCCGCGACTCCACTGCCACAAGTCCACTCTAAGGTCTGCGTGCGCACTCGCTACTTGACTAAAATTTCTCCACTTTTTTTATGCTCTCGTTCTTATGGTGTGCATTTGGGTCTTTCTTCCGCGTGTTTACTTATCTGGGTATCTCTCCAACTTGCAGTGAAACCATTCTGCGGTAACTGGAATCTGGGGTCCAGAGAATTCTCGGGGAAGCAACTTTCGATCAGAATAGGGTTCTCGTCCCATTACCGTAGCTTAAGCTCAACAGGGTTTATATAAACTTTCTTCCTTGTGCAGCAGATCTGGTGGTATTCTGGATTTTCGTGGGAGCTTCCATGGTTTTCTTGTTGTTAGTAGTTTAAGGATTTCGCTGGGTGTCGATTACTGATTAGTAGCCTCTTCTCCCTCTTTTTTTGGGGGGGAATTGGAATGGAGGAAGTTGAGGAGGCCAACAGGGAAGCTATAGAGAGCTGCAATAGGGTTTTGAATTTGCTATCCCAGCCCCAAGATCAAGTCCACTACAGGAATTTGATGGTGGAAACTGGGGATGCCGTGTTTAAGTTCAAGAAAGTCGTTTCTCTTCTCAATACTGGTTTAGGTCATGCTAGGGTCCGGAAAGTCCAGGCATTCCCTACTGCTGCTTTGTCCAATAACAACATTTTCTTGGATAATCCAATTCATCGACCTGCAGATCAGTCGCCACTGCCTTCCAAGGGTCGCCAGTTTCTACAAACCAGTGGCTACCTAGAAACCCATCATCCCATTCAAGAAATGGGTTCAACAGCTAAGACAGCCTTGTGCTTGGGAAACCCTTCTTTGGAGTTGAGCTCAAATGGGAAAACCCCACTCAATGTGGCTCAACAAACAGCATCTGCACATTATCACTTCCTTCAGCAGCAGCAGCAGCAGCAACAGCAGCTACAAAGGCTGCAACTCCAACAGCGGCAGCAGCAAATGAAGCAGCAGGCTGAAATGATGTTTAGGAGGAGTAATATTGGGATAAACCTGAATTTCGATAGTTCTAGCTGCACGCCTACCATGTCTTCCACTAGATCTTTCATGTCTTCCTTGAGCATAGATGGTAGTGTAGCTAACATGGAAGGTAGTGCATCATTCCATTTGACTGGTGCACCTCGGTCTTCAGACCAGAGCTCGCAGCAGCAGCATCACAAGAGGAAGTGTTCTGCTAGGGGTGAAGACGGAAGTGTGAAATGTGGAAGCAGTGGCAGGTGCCATTGTTCTAAGAAGAGGTAAAGGTTTTGACATTTATTCTTTGCTCAACTCTAGTCAATAAGCTACCTTTGCATGCCTCTCCTCTTATGATGAAATTTGAATGTGCCTACTAACAACTGTTGCTCCTTTTTGCCAATGCTTTACTCACAGGAAACATAGGGTGAAGAGGTCCATCAAGGTACCTGCAATTAGCAACAAGCTTGCAGATATTCCCCCTGACGATTATTCGTGGAGAAAGTATGGGCAGAAGCCAATAAAGGGCTCTCCTCATCCTAGGTACATAATGTTAAATTCAAGGATATCTGCTTTGGATGAGTGCTTCTAAATACTTCTGCTGATATTTTTGGTTCCATTTATATTTTATAGCTCTGCTTCATTTGCATAGCTTCTCAATCTATGCATGCCTATGCCTGCTGAGCCAACTTCTTTTAGATTGCTCATTGATGTCATAGTGCTGTATTTGGTGACTACACGACACCTTTCTGCTTAGATAGGTGTTGGGAAGTAGTCTCATGTCAATTAGATGCCCGGCTGCATCAATCATATGGTTCAGCTATTCCCAAACCTTCGCTTATGTAATGTAAACTTCTGTCATCATATAAGTGAGAATAAAACATGGATGACTCGGTATTCTGTTGTGCATGAAAAGTGAATTTTGTGATGGGCCTGTAGCTCGAGAATCACTGTTGTTCTCAGTTGGCTGATGATCTGAAATCCCTTACATCGTATCGTGTTGCAGGGGATACTACAAGTGCAGCAGCATGAGAGGTTGTCCAGCGAGAAAGCACGTCGAGAGATGCCTGGAAGAACCATCGATGCTCATTGTTACGTACGAAGGCGAACATAACCACCCTAGGGTGCAATCACAATCCGCAAATACATAGGAGGGAAGGAATCACAAGGAGCATAACTTACTGGGAAACGGTTACATAATTCGGCCTTGTCCATGCCGCGGCCTGGTGATGGTCAGCAGGGGAGTTTTCCTTGTTTGTTTTGGGAGGGAGTGGCTGGCTGTTCGGAGAATTGGTCTCTCCAACTAGCATTGCGTGTTTAGATCCGAATTCACCGGCTGCAACCTTGGCCGTCGTGAAGCTAGGAAATGAAAGCAGATAGGATCAGATCGTGGGGTCTCGAAACTGTAAGGAAGTCATTTTTCTTTCCATTCCTTATGTAATCTCCTATTATCAGAGTTGTTCAAAACAGTTGGCCGGAAAGATTGGTTGAGGGCTTCTTGTGATATCGCTTGCTAGTGAAAGTATTGATTAGTGACGTTAAGTCATGGTTCATGGAGATCAATCTCAGTCAGAAACGCATGGGGATTCATTCTATTGCACTATATTCTTTTCGCAGCACAGCATAGGCCAGAGTGTAATATTATTGTACCGTCAGGTTTGTTCTAAAAACCGCATGGATTAGAATCACCAGTTTTTTTTTTCTTGTAAAAAAGATGCCTTTTAACTAGTATTTTATTAAGGAGATGAACATTTTCACGACCTGCACCTTATTGTTTAATATCAAAAACTCTTTTTGTCCATTCGATAAGTTGGTTATAACTGAGATCTCAGAGTTTGAAGGTATATGACACTTGAAGATGGATGAAAATGGTGGACTCAATATATAAAATACAAAAACGTCAGTAGTTCAGTAAACGTCGAGGCGATTTTAAATGGGAATTGGAGGGTGAAATTCACCATCACAGTTGGTTGAAGTTTTGTTCTGCGTTGGGCTGGTTTGTTGCCACCATTGTTCATGTATTCGAGAGCAATGACACAGAGAAATTTCATTCATTATGGTAGTGGTTAGGGGTGGGCAATGGGCGGGTTGGGTGGGTTTTGGTCTCAAATTGACCCACCCACTTACTAGTGGGTTGAAATAATTTTGACCCGCAATCCACCCACATACTTCTGCGGGTTGGATTGGTTGGGTGGCGGCTGGGTCGCGGGTCAACCCGCAAAAGCAATTCTTCAACTAGCCATTAAGAAAGTTGACTAACATTTATAATAAGTTCAAAGCAAAATTAGTAAGACTGTATCATTAATTTGTGATTTTGATACAATTAATAATTTATAGTTTGCATCCCAATATTTAATGATTATTAACAATAATCTGCATACCAATATCCAATATCTAATGGATACTGCACAACACAATGACCAATAATAGTAGTTAAAACTATTATTTATTCTTCATATTTTGAAGTATATGGTCAGGCTATAGTGCAGTTCGAAAATATGATGAATATTCAATACTATAAGAAACATCATTTTTTCATGTAAAAATAGGATGCGGGTCATATGGGTGACCCGCAATCCACCCACCATCCACCCACACAAATGCGGGTGGGAGATTTACCAATCCGCAATCCACCCACATCAATCACCCACTACGTGCGGATCGGATTATTTGCGGGTGGATTGATATCAATCCGCAGATTAACCACCCACGTGTCCACCCTAGGTCCGCCTGGTCCCGGAAATAATGTGGAATTGAGGTAAAGATAAGTAGTTGTAATGGCGAACGATGAATGTGGACGGATCGGTGGAGGTGCCGAAATCTGATAACGACTCCAACGACTTGGGCACAAATTGGGTTGGAGGCGGTTTTCCAACAACAACTAGTAGGTGTTTGCTTCTTACCTACCTTGGATTCGTCGGTCGGTCGAACTCCCAAGTGTTTCCTCTTCTGCTGATCTGCACTTGTACTTGGTCTACGGCCGATCGAATTGAAGGAGAAAACAACAAGGGGTTTTTTCAATATTATTGTTAATGATTGTCACCCAAAGTTTGATTCTTCTTCAAATTGGGACGGCTGCTGTTTTGACGCTAAACTTAATTCTTGATTCTTTTTGGGTCGTGTATGGCGGAGGAGATTCTAATAAGAATGAAGGTGCAAGCTTCTATTAATTAATTAATTTCAACCTGACTATCGTTTTCCTCATGACTTCTTCTGGTCGGAAAAGTTGTCAACACATCACCCAACCAATATACTTATTCTGCACCAATCTGTGGTAGCGTCGGGTTAGATTCAGTATTTGTTTGTGGTGAGTAGATCTTCGATTAGTGAAGATGCTTCCATTGTTTATTTGGGTTAGATATAGCAGAAATAGTGCCCTCAATTAGTTCCAAGGATTCTACTTTCTACCTAGGATGAGCAGACGTGGTGACGGTCAGTGGAGGGATGAGACGGAGAAGAGGAGTCTGTGGTATATTGGACTGGGCAGGTCGAGAAATTTGGGTTTTGGTTATGGTTTTTGGTTGAGTGGCATGCCAACTTATTAGAGAGTGCTTGCTTTTTCACTTAGTTTAAATGATAGTTTATGCTTAGATGTTACTTTGGAAGGAAATATAGATAGAATTTAATAAAATTATCATTTGGTTAGTTAGTGCAAACTTACTTTTAAACTATGTATATGAATATCTTAAGGACTTTATTTTTAGATTGCATATAAAAAGTGAATCATTGTTATTAAAATGAATATCAAGACACAAATTAAGTTCTATCAATATCAAGGATCTACAATTACTGTTATGAGATTATATAAAATAGAAGAAAAATTGAGAGCCTGCAAGGCCAGAACTCCTTAGTGCCTCGTCGTTTTAGAGTACCTGCATTCTCAAATTCGAGACACGCCCCATAATTACATGCATTCGAGACACACCCCATAACAACAAAAAAGTATAAATATTCAATTCATGTGCAATCATGAGTAAGATTTTTTATACCCTTTCTTGTGTTCTAGTTCCTATTAACTTTTTATGAAACATTCAATTTTTTGTTCCGCAGTTCTAATATATATTGCTATATGTTACTTTTGAAAAGGCAGACAAAGAATTGATAACCAATATATGTTACGTTAAATATTAAACAAAAAAGTTTCGATTATTATTATTATCATCGTGGCTAACATTATTGTAATTTTGAACTTTAAATTCTAGATCCCGAACCTTCAAATTACAAAAATCTTACTTTTTAAATTCATGAAGCAACGAATCCTATAGAGCAAGGATCCTCCGGACCAAAAATTTCGATAATCAAATATTTAGAGTAGCATACGCCAGCGAAACGAACAAAATATTATTAGGGAAGGAGTCAATCTAGATCCAAGAAACAGAAACACCATCTCCACTGCCGACGAATAACTTCACTTGAGAGGAATAAACCTGGAAGAGTGAGTAGCACCAATACCAGGTCTTCCATGCTTCACAGGCTTGTAACTGATCGAGAACTCGGCTAGATAATGGCCAATCATCTCAGGCTTGATCTCCACTTGGTTGAAAGTCTTACCATTGTACACACCAATAACGCTACCGATCATCTCTGGGACTATGATCATGTTGCGCAGGTGAGTCCTAACTGGCTCAGGTTTCTCACCAGCTGGAGCCTCCCGTTTCTGAATGCCACAACAGAGATACACAAACCAATCAGACAATGGGAAAACGCCATTTATACATGTAAGGTCTGGTTTCTTTTTATCGCCAACAAATGACGGCCAACGCCGATAAGATAAGGATTTCACGAATATCATGAAAATAATTGCCAAACTGGAATAGCCTGGACAAGAAGTTGGTGGGTTGAATAAAATGCATTATCCAAGCTTAACGAAATGAAGAGAGTCATGCATAAACTGTTTTCACTCGGAATACATAAATCAAGAGAAATCCTCAGCTATTCACGTTTCCCAGAAGTTACAAAGGATCACAAATATTCCAGGTAAACTAATAAGCTAAACTAATTTCCAATAGGTTGAATGAACTACAAGATCTTTCGCTGCAAGTTTTTGAAATTACTCAAAAACCAATTTTATGGGGCTCAAAACCCCTTTACGATGTAAGATTGCTGGTGGAAAATCAGGACTGGATGGAACAAAATTCTTCATTACTAACAGATGTCAAACAGAATTGTGATAGTTCATGACTTGATGATCCAATGCTGGAATTCTAGAGAATACTAACATCCCTAGAATCACAATGGACTGGACGGAAAATCGGTAATCAATCATGTGGCAATGGAACGTCTAGTTACTTGCTACGACATCTGCCCAAAGTGTTGAACGACAGCGTACATGGCAGCATGTAGGTACCGTATAACCAGAATCACATTTGATGCAAGTCTAGTTAATTGGTAATAAATTTGAATACTAAACATCACAGAGAAGAGCAACAGTCAACTGGCTATTCTGGATTCGCATTTTCCAAAATCACAAATGCTGAAAGGCTAGAGAACCCTTAAAGCAAAACCTAGCAAGGGTCATACAAGAACTATAAGCCTTACCGCTTTTCGGAGCTTCTTGATGAGGGCCATTGGTTTCCTAGTTAAACCTCGCTGGAACCTGGGCACAAAGCAATAGATTGTTACGATTCAGGGTAGAAAAAAAAACGCCATCTTGTGAATTGCCGATAGCAAAGCGATTGATTATCGGAAAATCATGTCACCTTCTTCGAGCACGAGCTGTAAAGAGCTTGACGAGGTCATCAGTGGACATATCCAAGAGAGCATCCAAATCAACTCCCCTGAAACTGAACTTCTTGAACGTCCTCTTCTTAGGCTGTTCTGGAACGGCAACATCGGCTTCAACGTCGGCCTGAAATCCCCACGGAGAATGAAAACCAATCGGAGGGTTAGACCATTACTTCAGAACATAATCATGACTTCCTGTTCAGCTTGAAGCATGGATTTGGGTGAAGAAATTGTCAAGAAAGGCGAACAATGTCCAGCAAGTTTAAAGCATGAGCAGCAGTAGGGAAGAAATGGAGTTCTCACCATGGCTTCAGACTTGCGGAAAATGGGAAGAATTCGGGCAGCTCGCTGGTTCGTCGGCGCGAGATTTCCTCCGATGTTTAGGGTTAGGATGGTAGTAGCTGCAGTTTTATAGCTAAGCTAATATAAACCCAATGGATCATGGATGGCGGGCTTCTTTTGTCTTTGGGCTGAAAAGCCTAGCGAAACTTAGCTGGACCGAAGCATACTTACTACCAGATTTTAACTTGTTTTTTTCAAAGATAATGAAACTTAAACGCGGCATTCATTAGTAATCGACATGCCGAAAAAGAGCTATTTTTGTCATGCAATGGACAGCTTTATTAATTCTCTAAGAAAAGGCAACAAGAAACTACTAAAGATCACAAAACGGATATATGTTTTAGAACCTTGACACTAACTGTAATTTATGACTTTGAACATTGTGTACCACAAGATACCACCCCCATACCAGGGTGGTTGACTCACACGAAACAACACCACAATAAAATCCCAACAAGAGCCCAAATTTTTAAACTCTAGTCGGGTGCAGTACAGGGCAAGTATTTAGATATCGACCAGGGCCAGTCCGTCTACCCCTACTTCAGTTGTTGAAATCATTATCCAGCGACAAAGGTTTGGTTTAAAGGTTTGCTAATTGAAATGAAAGAAAGCAAAGGTAAATGGTTTTGATAACTCTTTTGTGGAAAGATCACTCGGGTGTCGCTCCCCCCTAACTGCTACCACGCTACGTGGATTGGAACGATTGCTTTGGGCACGATAACCACGAACCGCAGAGGGATGCATATGTGGTCGGAGACCACAATCTCAATTGCTAAACCGAGGTAAGCATGAAAGGCCGTGTCACTCGACCCTCTCGGTTTAGACAATCGGTAGTTGACTTACTCCCTCACTCAACTCTAAGGTCGGACGGCTTAATCGCAATTAACCGACTTGCTTAACTCAATATTGAGGATTGCCCTAACTTAACCTAGTTTAGGTGTTTTAGAAAGCGGAAGGAAAACCAAATTGATTGAGTCTCCCTTGGAAGGGGGATTTCCTCTCTAATCTAGGATAAGGTGGCTAATTAGATTGCTAGCACCTACATGCACAAACCTAAGGGTGCTAAGCACAATTATGCACAATCCTTAGGTTGCTAAGCACCTAGATGCACAAATTTAAGGATTCTAAGCACAAAACATGCACAACCCCTAAGTTTCTAAGCACAAGAATGCACAATCATGATAAATAATGCCTCAATCATTGAATTGAACAATACCCCATGACAATCATCCAATACACATAAAAGAAAACTACATGGTAGAGTTAGGGTTTCACAACACCCAAGTGAAAGGAGGTCTACTCCATGCTAGAAGTGGGGAAAACAAAAGGGAAAGAGATGGAAATCATCTTGGAGGATGCACCCAATCTTCTTGGCCCTTGAGTTGAGCTTTCCTTGGAGCAAATTTTCCCAAAATCTGCCTTGAAGCTAAACCCTAGCCTTCTTCTCCCTTTGGTTCGTGTTTCTCTCTCTAGAATGTTGAAGAAGGCTTCTCATACAAAATGGGCTCTCCCCTCTCTCCTCCTTTCAGCTCATCTTTTAAACCAGAGACGAGTTGAGTTCACGGCCGTGAACCAAGAAACGCGTCCGTGAACTGCAGGCGTGCGCCAAAACGCACCGCGTCGATCTCTTCTGTTCACGGTCAACAACCTTTGTTCACGGTCTTAGTGACCGTGAACTCACCTTGCGTCAGTAACCTTCACTTTGGCTCTGGACGCCGTGCGATTCACGGTCATGCAAGATCGTGAACTTCCTTGGTTAGCCGTGAACTGGCCCCTTTTTCACCTCTTCTCCCGGTTTTCGATCCACTTCGCTCAACTTTCGACTCCAAGGCTGGTTTCACCTGTTAAATCCTGAAACACACTCAAACACGAGGACCCTAGCGTAAAACCAACCATTTAGGAGTGAATTTGACACAAACATCTAAGTAAAACGGGGGCAAAACATGTGCAATTAGGCCTGAATCAGTGGTATAGTGTGATATTTTTTTGGTCTTGTATTTTTTCATCAAGAAATTTTTACATCCAATAGATCATGATTGAACTCGTTTCTTCTGTGCAAATTTTTTCAAAAAAAGACTTAAAAACTAAGGAGATATCAATGGTATGAAGTTGGTAACGAGAGGTATGAATTTATGTTTCAAAAAATATTGAAAATGAATATGATTTTGTAGAGCACAACGAACTCATTCAATATGTATAAAAAATATTGAAATCCGAGTTAGAACGAAGAAAATAAGAGCTTATTAAGAAAAATAAGAAAAATAAAAATATATTTAATTTTCAATAGGGTTATAGGTATAATATGCCCTTCTACTATGTAGTTTTATCAAACATGCCCCTAGACTATTTTTTACGTCAAACATGTCCTTGTACTTTGGAAAAATGATCAAACATGCCCTTCTGTTAAAATTTCCATTAAAAAAATCGCCAACCATGGTTGAACCGAGATGTAGATGACCCGACATCAGCAAATGAGAGCGAAAATGTCAGTTTTGTCCCCCATTTTATTTTTCTAGGTCTCGTTAAAGTGAAATTATTAGAGGTATTTGGCTCTACAAAAGAACCCAAAAAATTCTAAAGTGAAATTACCAATGATATTTTAGACATTTGTGTCGCCCAAACCAAGGTACGACCATGATTGACTTTTTTGGATGAAAATATTAACAGAAGGGAACGTTTGATCATTTTTCTAAAGTACAGGGGCATGTTTGATGTAAAAAATAGTAGAGGGGCATGTTTGATAAAACGACATAGTAGAGGGGCATATTATACCTATAAGTCTATAACCCTTTTCAATATTTAGATCTGAATTTTCAGGATTAAAAAAAAGTCCAAATTTAGTTATGATTTAGGGCAGGCTGCACGAATGGAAGGCCATTAGGGAGGGAGGTTCCCGTTGAACTCGATTCAACTCTTTAACCCGAGGTTAACAGTTAACACCATGGTTCATGGTTGGTACTTGGGAGTGATGGTGTAGATCTTCATCACCATTGGAGCAATTTATAGTATAGTTTATATTTTATAAGATGTTATGGACCATTTCTTTTATAGACCATTTTTCGGCAGTGGCGGAGCTATTCATTGAGGTGGGGGTGCTTGGAGCCTCCTTGGAGGATGGGCAAAATAAATTATCCCTAGACTTTGCTTTGTTCTGTTTCTTCTTCTGTGAACTGAGAGTAAGTTATTTTATTTTAGGGTAAATGTCATTTGGTTACTAAGATTACTAAATCGTATTATATTCAGTTACTAGAAAAATTTAATATCAATTTTGGTAATTCGAATTACGAAAACATGTCACATTTAACAACTCTCTCGTTAGCCTCCGTCCAACACCAGCACTCGAATTACTAAAACATGTCACATTTAGTCACTCGAATTACTGGAAACATGTCACATTTCGTCGGAAACTAACGGGAGAATGACTAAATATGACCTGTTCCGGTAATTTGAGTGACCAAAATTGATATTAAAATTTTCTAGTGATTAAACATGACACGATTTAATAATCTCAGTGACCAAATGTGGCATTTACCCTTTTATTTTATTTTTTTATTATAAGTCAATTATGGGCTAGAATATTTGAAATTAAATTTGAGCCCATTTAGAGTATCTTTCTCATAATAAGTTTGTCCCAATTTTTATACTTTCGCTAAACGTATAGCTTTATGTCATAAACACCACAATCTGGTTTATCCACCCATTATTTTGATCAAACTCAACTATTATTGTCGTTCCCACCCAAAATCCCAACAATTGTTTTTCCTCTGCCAATACTAGTACCATTTAGACGAGTTACCTCCAAATCTTATGAATTTTCTTAGGTCATCAATTGGATTTTATATTTTATTTCTACTATGATGACAGGTTAAAAAACTTACAAGTGATTGATGAATTCGAAAAAATCAGTGAAAACAAATAAGCAAATATTGTATATATATGTTTATTTGCTTCTCAAGTTGACATTTATTCAACCAATTGCCACAACAAGTTTGAAGAGACCATTTTCATTCATGAAATATATAAAAAATTTATCTTATAAAACAAATAAACGATGCACCACATATAGGTAAAGATTTGTGTGTTACTTTTGATAAGGAATGTGTTCTAGAGTGTTTCATAATATGAAATCTCGTTGTTGTTCGTTGTAAGTGGTGTTCGTCGAATTGTAATGATGTAATTGTATGAATCTTGACTCTTGAGTATTATATTGTTGACTTTTTATTTTGTTTAAAAGTGGACTTTTTTATTGCGTAGTTAAATTTTGTATAAAAAATTGTGTAGTTGATTTTTTTATGGTTATGTCAATAAACAGCTCCTTGACCAATTTCCTGGCTCTGCCACTGTTTCTCGGAGTAGGGTCTTTAAGACTTTAACAATATAAAACATGAAAAATGAAATGGATACTAAATGTGTTATTATATTCTCATGTTGAGATATATAACATTGAATTTCTACATATTTCAATAAACAGAGATTGTGAAATAATTAAAAGACTTCCTAATTTTTTTGTACGGTTTCACTTGTCCCAACTTACTTTATGTTGGACAACCAACGTGCATATGTACAATACCGGAAGTTTGACTATTAAATATTAATTAATACATCACCTACGGTAAGCTACTATGTGAAGTATGGACGTTTTACAACAAAGTGAAATTCTATGTAATTTAGAGGCCAAAATGTACAAAAATATGACCAATAATATGTGGAACCACCTAAGTAAAACAAACATCTTCCATAGAGATAATGGGAAAAAAATTCATCCTCAAAACCAAAAAATTTCGAAATAGCTTATGCCTCATCTAACAAAGTTTTGATTCATCTTTTTTGCTCTTTCAACTTTCTGAATGGAATATTTCAACTCTTTTTGAATGTTTATCCTTGAAGGTGATAGTACAATGTCTTTCCAGATCGAACCAGCAGCACAAGCTGGATTTGGAATGGGGTAGAGTTGATATATCGAGTCTGCATCCTCATTCAATTTGCCCACTCGTTTTAAGCAATCAATCTCATCTGGATCAACCAATAGAGTTTTGTCCCTCTCTTTCCATCCTATCAACTTCATAGCCATTTGTTGAGTTAGCAAACTGATATGCATATATTAGATAGGTGTTTATCAGATAAACAATATTAAAGAGAAACAAAAACAGAAAGTGAAGGAGAAAAACATTGCTCGAGGGTGAGGGGTAGCAAACTAATAAATTATCCAACAAATAAATGAGATTTAAGATACTTCGGATGCATACCAATGGACTCGGGTTTTATGAATAGGTTGATTTTGCCAAGTTGTGGATTTTATTTTAGGGCTTCCCTATAGTTTTGGGTCTACATGAGTATAAATTATGGAAAATAAGGTTTCAAATTTTGAAGCTATGATCACTAATATAAATGACCTATGTTTTCATCTGTTTATCCTAATCGCACCCATATTAGAGTTGGATTATGTACCACATATTATAGTTGGATTAATAATTTAAAGGGTAAATACAATATATTATCCATAACTATTAAGTAGCGGGGAATTATAGCCACAACTATCGAAATACAAATTATTAGCCATAACTATTGTTGTGGGTCAAGATTTGGCTAACAGCCCGTTACCGTTTTCAAATTTTTAACGTAGAAAGCCATGTCAGCATCGTAAAAAATATGATATGATGACTGTCACGTGGGAGCCAGCTCACCATCGTAAAAGCTTAGTCATCATTACTAACAGAAGTGTTAACGAAAACTTAACGATTGGCTAATAATTTGTATTTCGATAGTTGTGGCTATAATTCCCCGCTGCTTAATAGTTATGGCTAATATATTGTATTTGCCCTAATTTAAAAATGACAAGAAGAAGAAATTGTATAAAAGAAGGGAAGGTCTCTTGTACCTTCGGTGACCCTTCTAATGCATTGGTGCAATATAGTCTGGCGTTGTCAACCAATTGGCAATAAGTTAAAAAAGCATTAGCAAATCTTTTGTGTGATCTGAGCTGTGACCTGACCCTAACAGCTCTTCTGCACATTATGGCTCTCCTGTAAAAAAAAAAAAAAAAAACAAATGAGAATTCACGTTAAACTTAGTATTTCAAGGAAATGTTTTACTTTGAGATGTTTTATGGATTAAGAAATTCAAATGGTTGTGATTTATAGTTTTATAATTCTCAGCTTTATTACCGTATGCCTCTAACAACAGCAAGGTAAGCCTCACAGACAACCCCAACTAGTTCTATTCTGTATGGCTTTCTCTTCTTGTTTCCTTCTTCAAGTGGTTGTTCTTCTTCAATTTGCTCCCAGTAATTCTCAGTCACAGCTCCATCATCTGCAACTCTGTAACCCGCTCCCATCCGGTAACGCCTTCGATGCACATTTCTCGCCATTGTTATTGTCTGCACCACAAAGGGCAACCAAGAGAGTGTACCATCCATGATCACATCTCGCCCGTCGTTAAGTGCTGTCACCAACAGAGAGGATGCTGCATCTGTGGACGATTGGTGCACCTATTGCAGATTTTGTATAGTGGTGAGTGAGTTTCATATAAGAGAAAAAAACCAAAGAAGGAAAACCATATAGATTTGCAATATGTTGATAGAGATATTGATAAGCATGATATCCAGGTGACTGATATCAATATAAAAAAAGGTTATAGGTATAATATGCCCCTCTACTATGCAGTTTTATCAAACATGCCCCTCTACTATTTTTTACATCAAATATGCCCCTATACTTTGTGAAAAATTATCAAATATGCCCTTTTGTTAGATTTCCATTAAAAAAATCGTCAACAATGGTTGAACCGAGATTTAGACGATCCGACATCGGTAAATGGGAAGGAAAATGTCAGTTTTTTCCCTTGATTTATTTGTCTAGGTCTTGTTAAAGTGAAATTATTAGAGGTATATGGCACTACAAAAGAATCCAAACAATTCTAAAGTGAAATTATCAAGGATATTTAGACATTTGTGTTGCCCAAACCAAGGTTCGACCATGGTTGACGATTTTTGGATGAAATTTTTTGACAAAAGGCATGTCTGATAAAATAGTATAGGGGCATGTCTGATAAAATGACATAGTAGAAGGGCATATTATACCTATAACCCTATAAAAAAAGAGAGTCTCACAAGCTCTGCTGTTTGGATCATGTCAACATGTCCCCTGGAGCTCAAGGCTTTAAAGATGACGTCTGATTCTTTGAAAGCATCCGCCTCAATAACTACTGCATTTGCTGATGCTCCAGCCCAAAATGGTCTGCTCATAAACAAGACCATGTCATTTACCAATTTAGAACCTTATGTCTTCTATCACATTACATTTTTTTTTATTTGTAGAAGAATTTTAAAGGGGTTAATGCCACATTTGGTCACTCTGATTACTAAATTGTGTCATGTTTAGTCACTAGAAAAAGTTAATATCAAATTTGGTCACTCTAATTACTAAAACAGGTCATATTTAGTCACTCTCCGTTAGTCTCCGTCCAACTCCGTTAATGGAGTCCGTTATGTGCCGACGTGGCTAACGGGAGCGCCTAATCAGCGTCATTTTGACCCAAAAATGGTCAAACCCGACCCGCCATGTCACCAAACCCGCCATGTCATACACCCAACCCAAACTATTAAGCCAACCTAACCAAAAACTAAACCCTAACCCACCTAACAAAACCCTTTCTCCTTCCTCGCGATGCTCTGCTCTGCTCCTTCCCTTCAAGGTGCAAAAGACACCCAATTAATTCCCGCTGGAAGTCGCTGGAGAGCTCATCGTCGAGATCCTTGAGCAGATCCTCGCCGTAGGTGGAGCTGTAGACTTCTCTGATCGGCTTCCCCTGGGCGGCGTTCCGGTGCGGCAGGATCGAGATGATCAGCGCCTCGTTCGTCCCCCATTCTGATCGTTAAACACACCGAATCAAAAATCACGATCAACGGACGAGATAATCTTGAGATCTACCGACAATAATTGAGATAGAAGAAGTAACGTCGGTGATCTAAAAGATCAGATCTGATCGTCGGAAGAAGGGATCGTGCTAATTGATCTATCGGAGAGAAGAAAGGAAAACAGAGAGGGACGGGGGAGGATTAACGGGGGAAGGGAAACCTGAGAATGCCTTGTGGAGCTGTTCGGAGTCTTCAGCGGCGTCGGGAGCCTGGTGAGGAACAGTGAGAGTAGCCATATCGCTGCGAAAATTTGTTTATCTAAACGACCGTCGTCGTCGTCTTCGATCTCTCTACAATGGGTCTCGTTTGTTTCTTTGCAATCCCCCAGGTCTCAAGCGCCTCCAGGCGAGGTTCCCCAACATGGAGGTGGCGATTCTCGAGCTATCCTTGGAAGAATGCGGCAGCAACATCGACGCCGCCATTTACTGCCTCTGCCGTCTCTCCCTGGAAGAAGCGCTTGCCGCGAAACCCGGCCCCGCGGTGAAAATCAGCAGCGACCCCCCAACCCAGTGGGTTGAGCTGTTGGTGGAGGAGATGGCGACGAGCATGGATGACGCCAAGTCCCGAGCCGGCAAGGTTTTGGAAGCTTTGGAGAATTGCACCTCGCGGGAAAAGGGATAGCGTGGAGCTCTTCATCTCTCCCTGAAGTTCGATCGAATTGGTGAACCTAGAGGAAGGAGCAGTTCGCGAGGAAGGAGAAAGGGTCTTGGTCTGAAAATGGCCACTAACCCAATCGATTTTCCAATTTTGTTTGGTTAGGTGGGTTAGGGTTTAGTTCTGGGTCGGGTTGGGTTAATGGTTTTGATTTGATGTATGACATGGCGGGTTTGGTGACGTGGCGGGTCGGGTTTGACCATTTTCGGGTCAAAATGACGCTGATTAGGCTCTCTCGTTAGCCACGTCAGCACTTAACGGACTTCATTAACGGAGTTGGACGGAGACTAACGGAGAGTGACTAAATATGACCTGTTTTAGTAATTAGAGTGACCAAATTTGATATTAAATTTTTCTAGTGACTAAACTTGACACAATTTAGTAATCACAGTGACCAAATGTGGCATTAACCCAATTTTAAAGTTCCCTTACTCTTTAAGGATATCTTTGAGGACAGTGCTTTTCCCCGCTCCCATGCCTCCACCCATGAGCAAGAGGACTGGACTCCTGTTGGAATGCGCCACTGGTTCCATGACCTCCGTACATGAATCATCATTGGACGCTAAACCCATTGCTTTCATTTCCTCTACCAGTGTATTGAAAACCCTAGCCACCTTGAGATCTTTTGTCACCCTCTCAAACCTTTGCTCTCTATTGATAAACCAATATGGAAATACCACACTAAATGTGAGCTTACACATAAAATGTTTTTTGTTTTTCTCAATATGATTGGAATAATATATTCAGTCTTAAATTTGGAGTAGAGTAGTTGCGAAACAATATGTGTATATACCTAGTGGCAGCCATGACAATATGCTTGAATTTCTTCTTGGGCTCTGCATCAGCACTCAACACCTAACAAAAATTAGAAGCAAATAAAAGTTGTAAACAAGAAATTCATTTGGCTAAGGTGTTCCAAAAGAGTACAATCCCAATAATTCGAGTTGTTGGGAGAAGGTTATGCTAGATCTTATACCACTCTTTAACACGCCCCCTCAAACGAAAGCCAACCCATGGGCTTGAAGTTTGCACAGGCCCACCATACCATGTGTTTGAAAGACAACGGTTAATATTGGGGGTCGTGGAGATTCGAACACATGACCTTTCGGTTCTAGGCTCTGATATCATGTCATGAACCAGTTGATCCCAATAACTCGAGTTGTTGGGAGAAGGTTATGCTAGATCTTATACCACTCTTTATCTGATAATAATAATAATGTTACCTGACTAATGATGAGATCAGCATGGCTCCAATGGAAAGCAAAGTAACTAAGGATGCATCGCTCCAACTCCTCTACTAGCTTCACAAACAAGGAATCTGCATCAAGCTCCTCCGCGAAGAAAGTGAAGGCATCTTCCTCGCAGGTCTCTGTCTTTCTTATGTACTCCGCAGCTAGTTTGCACAAATGCGGACATTGTCTCTTATCTGCAAATCCCATTTGCCTTGCTGCAAGCGTATTAATTATATATTTATTTCTTAGATTGGGAAATTACAATCCTTGAAACGATTCAATATCTTAATACTTACATATTTATTTATTTCCATCAACTACCCTTATATATTCTCATCATCATTACCTACATAGTGCGAAAATCTTTCAAGCTTCTCGGTACGGCGTCCAGATTGCGAAGGCCTCAACCGCGGTATTATCCTCCGATCCAGTAGCTTTTGATATCGGTAATGCACTATGATTATAAGTATTAATCCCATGAATGAGGCGATAACGACCTAATGATAGGGGAAATTGATCAGGTTAATTATACATCCCACTTTTCCTTCCTAGTAGAGGAGTTATGTGGAAAAAAATTATATGATGAGATCTTGTTTAATTACCTGATGGAATGTGTCAAAAGTATTCCAGAGGAGAAAGGTTTTAGAGTGATCATTGAGTGCTAGGATGGAGACGAGGAATGAATTCGCCATTATTATTGCTTCATTACCAATTTTCTCGATTATTTTGATTGCTAATTAGTATAATATTAATTTGGATGAGAAAGGAAGAGGAAGAAGGAGATGAATATTAGTTGAGAAGAGAGATAATAAACTTTCTTTGTTGTCTTGGCCTCTGCCTTCATCTATTCTCCATGGATCTAGAGAATTGAGTTTGTGACACTTGTAAGTAAGCCATACATTGTCTTTATGCAATTTGTGTATATTACCATCCATGGTATTTTAGCAAATGTGTAATTATTTTTCGACCAAATCATATATTATATGTTCATCTAAATACTTATCATGCAATATACAATATGTATGCATATAGTGTGATGGTGAACACTAAATTATCGTTAATGAGTGGTATGGTACATATAAATTCATGAGCTATACACAAGTGGTCAAATCCCAATACAATACATGTTGTGATGGCTAAGTAACTCAATCTAAATACAAAAAAAACACACCTATTTATATTGAAAAATAAACATCTCTATCACACCCAATAAGATGGAAGAGGAACAAAAGAAGTCATTCGAGATTTCACCAACCAGTTGAGAAACTGTTGGAATATGTTGCAAATTACGATGCCCATCAATCACCAGTTATCACACGTAATGAAAGTCAAGGTTAAGGTGCATAATGCAGGATGAAATACAAGATTTGTAAAAAAAAAAAAGAGGTTCCCTTCAGCTTAATTCTCTCTCTACCACTCAGCCTTAGCACCCAACACTCCATACTCCTTATATATAGGCGACCAGAAATCCAGACAAGTTTGCTGCCTACACACTAGAATTCGCGACCCTGCAGTGCCACTCTAAGCCATGATTTGCAAAGGCTGCTGTTATAGGTTGTGTTTAGGGATGCCAATCAAATTCATGACTGTGGGTACTCGACTGTCCCCGATTCAGACAATGCGGGGAATTCCTGTATTGACTGGGTATTGGGGGGAGGGGGGGGGGGGTATGGGTAAAACTCGCAAAACGTGTGATGAGTATGGGGCAGGTATGATTTTAGTCTCCCCCGCCCTATAGCCATAACCATACCTATACTCATATCCGCCCGGCCAAGACCATTTCTCCACATATAAAAACACTTGGATCAAATTGGATATATCAATGATAGTGAGGGTAACTCAAGAAAATAAATAGTAGAAATCGGCGGCGGATCCAGAACACAGAGAAGCATTGGGCTGCATTTCATTAGAAAATTAGAACCGTAAAAAATAATGATTATAGTTTTTTTTGCAATTTAAATTGTACCCGATAGTATTTTAATTTAGAGAATACATCAATAATTGGAGTCTACAGAGCAATCGACGAGAAATTCATCGCTCATTTTGTTGAGCAAATAAGTTCTCGCATGTTTCATTGTTGAAAAGGTTCTCTTCGTAGTAGCTGTTGAAACGAGCAGCATCAATACTAGACAAATCAATCGACTAATCAATTTGCATTGTGTGTCCATCCCTGCATCCACCAGCTGCTCTAGTAAAATTTTAAGGGAACAAACCTCATATTTCTCTTAGTCTTTTTCATTTTAAACTTTTAGAATTTTAGGTTTCATTGTTTTTTTAGACGCATTATCTTTGGGGCTGAAATTTCTAGGCTAAATTTAGAGTGGTGATTTGAATATGTTCATCTGAATCATTTTTCTAGTTATACCCAATCTTATTATAAAATAACACTGGACCGCCTAAAATAAAAAAATTCATAACGACTATACTAACTACGGATACAGAGGAGAGCTGGGCCGGGGCCCGAGGTGGCCACCCCTGGATCCGCCACTGATAGAAATGCAATTGAGCGGCCACCCAAATCAAAACCTAACTCTTTTTAATGAACTCTCCCTTCACTATTTCACTTTTTTCTTCGCGTTAACAAGATTATGTTAGTTATTTATTACTAAGAAGATGTATCAGAGTCAAAGAATAATGCTTTGGAGTATATTGTACTCTATCTTGTGGAGTAATGAATGTTTTAGGATAAGATGCTTTGAACCATATAAAGAATGATTGTCTCTTTGTCAACTTTATGATATAGTAGGTGCATTTAGTGTTATAATTGAAAATTTATAGGTAAAATTTTAGGTATTATAATGTCGGATGTACGGGGCGGGTATTACCCAAGAGATCCTGAAACCCACGAGTATGGGGATGGGTTTGTAAAACCTTCTCCCGCATGGGTATGGATATTTGAATGCATGGATGGGGATGATTTAGGCAAACTCGCCCCATTACCATCCCTTGTGCTGCAGGCTGCAAGTGGTTTCGCAGGCTAGGGATCATAGACGCAATCTTAGTCCTGGCTCAAATACAAAGGGCCATAAAATTGACCGTGACATCTTTTGCTTCTCTCTTGTGTTTCCTTTTAAGAGCTAGACCTATTATATTAGACCTAAAAATGAAAATTTTCCATCAGGCTCCTTATGCTCTGGTCAATATGGCTGGATTAAACAACGATGTCAACGTTACAGTTATCTTTCGGGTTCAAGAAGAAAACAAAGTTGGCTGATAAGAGCAAATGTTGTTCAGTAACAGATCCAATAGCAACAGTACGTTGACGACCCAAGAACAAATAATGAACTACTATTTGGCTCAAGTTGGCTGTTGAAACTACCAAAAAATTATGGAATGCCAGAGCTTTGCTGGTAAACAAGCACATGCTGATGGGTTCTGAATTCTAACATTATATCAGCCTCTTTTTTTCCACACCATCCTTTGGCCGAGGGCTGAGCCAATCCCATTTTCAATTCACAAAATCGGAACTTCTCTCCAAGCAACTGTATTTGTTGAAGTCCAGGCCAAACCTTGGCTTGTAGTTTCTGCCGCCAAATAAGATAAAAAGAATGCCAAAGATCAAGAACTAACCCAACCTACTATATCTAGTTAGATCGTTTCATCAACAAGCCAATTTGCCCTCTAACCGTGCCGATTCAAGCTTTGGTAGCAGTTCAGAGACCACGTTTCTCAAAGTGGCATGGCTCGGAGAATTGCTGCTTCCATTTAAGGCCATGTTTGAGAGAAACGTGACCTCATGGTCCGTTTTGACATTTCTTACAAGCAGCTCCTTCCAAAATGCATCATCCTCCTGGATGTTTGATTCTCTTAGAATGTCAATTACCCGCTCTAAGGTTGCAACGTGACGACCAGCACCGCAGCCCATAGCAGTTGCAGCGCCCACAGCGTTGGCAATGGCCAAGGTATTTACAAATGGCAGATTGTGTATATAACCAAATGCCACAGCAGCGACAAAGCTATCTCCACAACCGACTGTGTCCATGACATCGACCTGTCCATAGTTTCTATTTATCAGTTTCTGCACTACCAAATTATACAAATTCATAAACGAAGAGCATGAACCACAGAACATACTTGTCAAATTCCTTGATCTATGCTATAGGTAAGAGATATGGAAGATGCTATCATTGCAAATATCGAAAAGAAAAAAAAGCGGATAGATTGCAGGAAACAATCCAAATTGTCAAACCTGATCAGTGTAACTGTGTAAGGACTACAGTTTTCCTGGAAAATTCTGAAAATTTGATGTAATGCGAGCAAGCCATCAGTCAATTACTGCAAGCCTACGAAGGAACTTTACCTTAAATGCAGGCGCACAGGATATAGTTGATGCAGTGACTAGAATTGATCCTTTCGAACCCATTTTTACGATCACCCATTTAGTCCGTACTCCATTCTGAAGCAACTCCTGTCCGGCCAATACTGGATCTCCTATGCCTGTTAATGACTCAGCCTGACAGATGGAGTAAATGATGCTAAGTTAGTACGCTAGTAACCTACTTTTCATACAAAGTTCAAATGCTGACAAGAACAGACGCTTAGTATTCTAGAAGCACATGAACAAATAAGATAAACGACTAAGCTAAAAAATAAAATCATTATAACTAAACCAGTAAATTGACGAAATGGCAGGAACTGGAAAAATGAAACATGATTAAAAAATGAAACGCAAAACCCATGACCTAATAAGATTGGCAGTGAAACACACTCTGACATACAATGTGGAACCACATTACAAAGCAGGACCGGAACTGGATGTAGTTAGTTAATTGTTAAGACTAAGAGGCACTACGCAGAATTAGATAACAAAATTGAACCCAAACTTCTTAACTTTCTCCATACCAGTCTAGTATTTTGAGCATCAGCAATACACTCTCAACCCTCCACATGCAGCCTACTGTCATTACTTGTGAAAGATGACAGACAAATTGCAATCCCTGACTAATTTCATTGGCTCCAAAGTGTTCCACCCAAATCCACCACAATGTTTATATTGCTTTTTCAGCGATAAGAACAGTTGAAAACCATAAGAAATCCCTCAATCATAAGGAAAAGTGACGATCCAGATACTGAAATAACACAGTGTTGACACTATAGACATCTCGCGCAAATGGAATAAAAGCATCAAACATACACATTCAATGCATCATGCATACACCTTGGAGACACTGGTGAAGTAGAACAATGTAAATCATACGAGTTCAAACCTGCTGTTCCAACATCAATGATTTAGACAGAGTGGTGGTAATGCACGGAACTAAAACTAATTAAGAATTCCAAGCTTCCTGGTTTAGATGCTTAAGAATAAGCATGAGGATTCAGAATGACGGGAAGACGATGTTCGTGAGTGCTAATTCACTAAAGCTTCTAGTTTCCGGACTACTAGGGATGAGAGAAAAGCAATAGTAACATAAGAAGCATTCAACAGATCATACCTCATCACTTGTCAGAAGTAGAACATCGCTCATCTTCAACAATTGCCTAAGTGCATGTTGTTCTTCCACCGTTCCATTCGAAAGGCTCCTTCCGCGTGGACCGGGATCAAAGAAAACAGAAGTCCCAACTTCAATAGCATAATCCAGAGCTGAGACAACCACACCAGGGGAGAATTCATCAAAGCCATAACCATTGCAGAAAAGAATCTTAGACTGACTAATAGCCATCTTTGCCGGCCCTGACAATTTGCTCATCCAGCTAAACGCTGGATCCTCACGAAAATCAGCTCGACTGAGAAATGAAGACCACAAAAAGGAATCAGGAAACCATTTCAAGTCACAACTTACAACCAATTTTGTCATATCCTTCTCGTCGTAGAAGATGAACACGCACGACAATTTACCTACAAAATCCATGTCTTTGAAGAGGATCAACCAGAACCCAACACAGAAGAGTCTCGTAGGCGGCACTTGAAGTGTCTACAGCATCACCGTCCTCAGTCATCTCAACCATCCTAATCCGCTCGTCTCGAAGCACATCCAAAAGGAACTGCCCATATATCTCGCCCCCAATATGACCGATCGTGGCGCAGTGAAGGCCCAGCCTAGCAGCCGCTATAACCACATTGCAATTGCCACCAGCTTCCCAAAATCGCTACACAACAAGGGGAAAGCTGAGGAACATTTCATACAATTCCGATTCCGTAGCCGAAAAACAAAAAAGAAAAGAACAGAAGAGAGCCGAAAACCTTATCCGGTGGAGAAGCGGAGAGGCGTTCCATATACGCGAGGCGAGCATCGCGTTGGCGAGGGGGTAACTCGGGGACGTTCAGAACGATGTCGACGCAGAGATTTCCAAGAGTAGCGACGTCGACGACCTTGGGACCAAAGCTCCGGAGCTTCCCATGGGAGACAGCGGCGTCGTTCCTAAGAGAGGTTGAACAATGGGCAGATGAAGAAGAGAGGTCGGTGTCGCGGGAAGTGAGGCCAAAGGAGTGGATAGAATGGCCGGCGGCGGCGGAAGGAGAATACGGCAATGGTGGGAGGGAGAGGAGCCTAGGGTTTGGAAGAAAAGGTGCATGACGAGGAGGAGAAGGGAGCAAGGATTTGAAGGATGGAGCTGGTGTGGTGAGGTGATGCATCCAAGTGAAAACTGAGGAGGAAGAAAGGTGTAGAGGAGAAGAGTGAGGTCGGAGGGAAGAAGAAAGGACTAAACTGCGGCGAAGAAGAAGAAGAGCGGGACCGCAGAAGGGAATTGCAGGCAGATGGACAAGTTTGAGCGGATGAATTTTGGAAACTAAAAAGTTTCTGATTTTTTTTCCCCCCGTGAATCCGAACAAAAATGGGGATAACAATATTTTCGCCCGGAAAGAGAACAAGTGGGGAAAATCAAAATGAATGCTGGGACTAGGAGTAGGATCTAATCCACCGCCGCCGAAACCGAATGGCGTCGGCATTCGGCACCTCCCGCCGCGGCGACATCTACGATTACCAGATTCTTGTTGGTGGGTTGAATAGGGATGGCAATGGCGCAGGTTTGGGACGGGTTATCTAAACCATTTACATCTCATGCTGTGGGAGGAAGGTTTTGCAAACTCATCCTCATACCTGTGACCTGTGGGTTTCGATTACCCATAGGTAATACCCGCTCTGTACATCCAACATCATTATATCTAAAACTTTACGGGGTCGTTTGGAAGTTGTGATTGTTAGAGTTGTGTTTGTTGAATATATGTATTGTGCATAATACAATGTTTGGAAATGTCAAAATGCATTGTTTTAGGTAGGTCCCACAAACAATTACAAAAAATGATGCATTATACAATCTCAACTAAAGGGTCGTTTGGAAGTTGCGTATGCTAAATCATTGTATTGTTATGAATCACTATGATATAAATGCATGCATTGATATAATAGTTGCATTTTGAAATTACATTGTTTGGTTATTGAGATTATAATTTATGAATTGATTGTTATAAAGTTATTTTATAAGGAACTGTCATATTTGTCCTCTACTTTTAATATAAAACAAAAAGAACTATGGACATAATTGGAAAAAGTAAAGGTGCTCAATTATTAAACCAACAATCACAACAATCTCAACTTTTAGTTGAGATTGTACAATCCCTCATTTTTGTTGATTGTTGGTGGGACCCACACAAAACTTTTAGTTGTGATTCTTCAAATTGATGTATTAGGTCAATTAGTGTATTATCATTTGATGTATTGATTCAATGCATGTATTAGGAAAATACTTTGTTTGGAAGGGCAATGATGAAACAAAAAGTAGGGTAGATAATCCCTCGTTAACAATTTCACCTTTTAGACTATCCACAATGGTGGAAGGGAAAAAAGGAAAAAAAGGATGGGGGAAGAATAATGGCCACAATAGGTGGTAGGGAAAAAAGGGTATTGGGGAGAGTTTTTTTTCAAAATCAATCTAGAGTTGATATGATAACTTTATTTTGATAATTTATTCATTATTTTTATATAGGTAGTATTAATTAATTAAAACGAACATTTCGATATAATTTTTTTTAATTTAGACATAAAATTTTTTATCACTAACTATATGTGACGTCATCAATGGAAGAAAGTGAAGAATGAATTCTATTTATAGAGCTAAAAAAAAATATGGCCGTTGAAAATATGACCGTTGGAAAAATAGCCGGTGGAAATTTGGCGGTTGTAGAATATGGTCGTTGGCCAATAACTCATAAAAATCCAATAAGAAAACCATAAAACAATTTTTAAAAAGAAAAAAAAAACCACCCACATGGTCCCCCCTTCCCTTCCTCCTCCCACCCATCTGGACCCACTTCCCCTCCTTCTTTTAACCTCTAGCGTAGGAGGAACCCTCCCCTTCTTTCCCTTTTATCCTTTTTTTCCATAATATTCATCCCTATTGTGAGCCATCTTCTCCTTTTCCCCCCTTTTATCCTCTTTTTCCCTTCTTGCTGTGGACAGTCTTAGTAGAGATTTATAATCATTCATTTTGAGTGATTGTAGGTGGGCCCAACAAAAAGGTAATGCATGCATTCTAACTCAAAGTGAACCAAAAAAACGACTTAATATTATCATTACATGTATTTGCTAAATACCTCACTTCAAATCTCAACCTCCAAACAACCCCTAAACGTTGTATTGTGGACAATGCATGTATTTAACAAATACAACAATAACAATCGCAACTTCCAAACGACCCCTAAAAGTTGAGATTGTTGGTTTTAGATTTGTGTCACCTTTTTCTTTCTATTTATATCCCTAATAGTTTTTGTCTTATTCTAAAAGTTGAGGGTAAATGTGAGAATTCCCCATAAAAGTAACTTTATGTAAATCAGTGCATAAAGCAGAATCTCAACAATCAAACAATGTATTGGTAAAATGCATCCATTGTATCAATAAATGCATTTTATATTATGGTAATTCGTTACAATGCAACGATTTAACATTCGCAACTTCCAAACGACCCCGTATGTAAATTTTCAATTATAACGCTAAAGAGACCTACTATAACATTAAGTCAACAAAGATGCAATCATTCTTAATACGGTTCAAATCGTATGATCCTAAAACATCTATTAATTAATAAGATGGAGTATAATATTTTCCAAATCATTAATTTTTAACTCTAATACATCTACTAATTAATTTTAACTAACATAATTATCTTGTTAACAATAGGAAAAAGTGAGAATGAAGGGATAATTGACGTAAAAGCGGACAAGCCTGCACGGTTTTACTCTTGAGTGTCCTCCCCAAAAGGCCTCGTACTAATTGGGCTAGGTGGACACTAATATACAAAGGTTTCTTCCCTTGTATCTCCGATGTGGTACTTGGATTGTCTCATAACAATCCTCCCCTCAAGACAAGGACCACGAACTTCGTGTCATCTCCTCAGCGATTATCTTGATCCGCCAGACGCCTTGTATCGATGGGCTTCTCGGTACAAGGACTTTATCAGACGAGAACTCTCTTTGATCTGCTTCCCTAATGGGGAACTCTCTTTGATCTGCCAAGCCCAAACATGGATCTCTCCTAGATCCACCAAACGGACGCGAATCACCTTTGATCCGCCAGACAAGCGCAGATCTCAAACCCCGAGGTCACTGAACGAGGGTCCCACCGCGTCCAGCGTCCCAGATCCGTCAAACCAGGCTCTGATACCACTTGTCACAAATCGGGCTGCTCCATTAGTACGATATTGTCCGCTTTGGGCCAAGCCCGCACTATTTTTACTCTTGGGTGTCCTCCCCAAAATGCCTCGTACTAATGAGCTTGGTGGACACTTATATACAAGGGTTCCTTGCCTTGTATATCCGATGTGGTACTTGGATTGTCCCATAACCATCCTCCCCTCAAGACAAGGACCACGAACATCGTGTCCTCCCCCTCGGCGATTATCTTGATCCGCCAGATACCTTGTATCAATGGGCCTCTCGTTACAAGGATTTTTCAAGTTACGGGCATGGTTACGTAATTCCAATTACACGGTCATACTACACGGCAGTGTAAAATCATATCTTGCCCGCGCACGGCCACCTCGCACGGCCGAGTAAAATAATGAGCAGGCCGCATAAAATCCTCAGCTTTCCGTTGAACGTCCTAACTTCATCCAATCGACCCTGAACTCGTATCCAAACCTTCATTCACGTACTAGGACATGAAATATCACTAATAAGAACAACCTAGCTGGAAATCGGTTTAAAACACGAGAAACGAGCCTCAAAGAATATAAGAATGGTGGACGAAAACATGTGCACATATCGAGTCATCAAATCCCCCCACACTTAACCGTTTGCTTGTCCCCAAGCAAACCTGGCTCAAACCAATGCAACTCTCAAGACCTCTATAGCAACATGCAACCTCGATCGTCTGTAGAGGACTTCCTAGATCATTTAGCAGCTTACGAGGTCAACCAGTTTTCTAAGACATCCCCTATTTCTCTCAATGCGAGTACTAGACTCACACCAGGTAATATCAAGTACTAGACTCATCCCCTATTTCTTCTTGGTGCAAGGTGTATCAAGTAATACAGTCTATCGGAGCCCATATGCTTTTGAGCTCTCAATTAGAATATGGGGCTTTTGCTTCCCGTATGGAGTCCGGCGACGGCGGCTGCAATGGTTCCAAGGGAGTTTCGGAAGCCAAAGATGCAGATACGTGGTACGCCAGTTTCTTGGTTAATTGGGATTGCCCATGAAAAGATTTGGTGTCAAATTTATTAGCCTCATCGATTTGTAATTCGTAGGTGATTAAATAAGTTGATCGCCGATTGTAATTTGAGTAGAACAGTCCCCGTCCGAATAAATCAGTGTCGGCCAACAGTGGGAATAAGTGGTGACGGTTTTTTTAATGGACTGTGTTAGAATAAAATATTTTAATAATAATAATCAGGGTAAAAAAGTCGATCTTAATTATTAATTTAGGGCGATTCGTAAAAACTAGGGCGAAAATTAGCAACTCCCTTAAGTTAAGTACCAATAATACAAAAGTAACAAATAAAAGAGAACGCCAAAGACAATTAATTAAAAGGGAGACCTAAAACAACAAAAGAGTCACAAAAGAGCACATTCAACTGATTTCATCAACAAAAGGAGAAACTGCAAGGCGAACTGGGCAGCACGATCATGTGCTAAACAGTCACTTCCGGTTGACTGGATACAAATCCTTGATGTAATTGGCCCACTCTTGTAACTTGATTGGCTTTCTGCCTAAGGGAAATGAAATCCGATGCCTTCTTGTAAAAAAAAAAAAAAACTTACTAACCGCATGCCATTTTTAATGTTTTTTTTCTCTCTATCTGTAGGTCCAATTTGACCCTCAAATCTCCTAAATATAACACTTTGGCATTTTAGTACTCAATTGAATTTTTTTTTGCACTTTCGCATTTTGGCACGCTATTAGAGGTGGTCTTACTCTCTCTAATACTTGATGGGATCATCTCGAGCTTTCTCAAACATTGTATCAAACATCTTTTATATTCAAATCTTAATATGATTCACAAGCTAAATATGTTAGGAGGATTATTTGATGATGACCCACATGCATTTTTCGCATATGCCCTGTGCCCATTCTGATTCACCTTGTATTTCAAGAATCTTATCTGTGTAACATGTTCTTTTAAGAGCTCTGTAGGCGACAAACCTTACTCTATTAATTGTGTCGTATTACCCAACTAAATTCGAGAAAAATTTAAGACCTTTTCTGAAATTTGTCCAATCCAGAAAAAACAAGATAATTGATCGAGTGTTCATGTTCTATTGTGCAAATTCCTGTTTGGATAATCTGAAATTGTGAATCCAACATCTAGAGGTTTCCCATCCGTAATGCAAATCCAAACCCAACAAAAAACCAACAAAGAAAAATGAAACCTTTTTTGGAGTAATCGTCAAAACGGTCAAGGACGTGTCATTCATGAATCTCCTTGTTATTTTTTGTTTCCCTTTTCCCATCTTTTCTCTTTCTTCTCCATTTTTTACCCCGTCAAATTTTTTCATTCTCAGGGTTTGATCTTCAATGGCCTTCTGCTAAAATCATCGTCTTTGATTCACATTGTCAGCCAGGTACTGTAATTATTACCCAAATTTGTTCTTTTTTCGTCCCCACAATTTGCAATGTGCTTGATGGTCTCAAAGCGTACCCTTTTGCATGTTCTTCCTTTCCTTTCTTTTTGGTTCTAACATGCTATTTAGTTTCTCGGCATTGTTTTCGAGTTTTGCAGATCCTGAGGATTTGTTGGGGTCTGTTTGCTGAATTATATTTCAATCCATTTTAGGACATGAAATAATTTAATGATTGATTTTCTAGATTTAATTTAGAAAATGGTTTTGAGTTTGTTTTCTTTTCCGCATCAACAATAGTCTCATGCGTGGGTTCGATAGGGTATAACAATTCTTTTTTCATAATTTGATCGAGAATGTGACAACGGTGGAACTTGTTGCTAGTGAATTCTAAGAGTTGTGAGGGGTTAGTGTTGCTTTAGCATTCAATTTGGAATAAAGAGTGTTCAATAATTAAAATCATTTAGATTTTTTATGGTTTCGTGTCACAGATAATAGAGAAAATGGATAGTCCAGATTGCAATTAGTAAGAGTTGGTTTGCAGTATATTCTTTGTTGCGTTTTTTCTTGTAATATGTATGTTTCACTAAGCTGATTGTTTACTCCTCTAACTATTTTGGTTATATCTTTTATGTCAGCCATTTGCTTGATTGAGACCCCCAAATGGTGATATTACATTAGTATAATTTTACCGGTGGGAATGGCTTCAAAAACCTCCTCATTTTCTCCAGCAAGGAGGACATTGACGGGATTCACATATGCTCTGAGATCAGCAGCTTTTGAATGGCTTCTAATTTTCTTGCTACTTCTGGATGCAGTGTTTGCCTATCTCCTGACCCGATTTTCACGTTATTGTAGGCTACAAGTACCATGCCTATTTTGTTCACGGCTAGATCACATATTAGGCAATGAAAAACCTGGGTTTTATAGGGATCTCATTTGCACATCCCACAAGGCTGAAATGTCATGCTTGATTTTCTGCCATAACCATGGTAAGCTTGTTGATGGTCGTGCTATGTGCGACGATTGTCTGTTGTCATACTCATCAATGCTTAAAGAAAAATATGAGATGCAAAGGGTTGTGGTGGGTAACCTTGGGTTTGATTTAGGCTCTAATGGTCCCCCTAACTTGTTCACAAACAAGGATCTCCTTCCTGGTTCAGTTGCCACCAAGTTATGTTCATGTTGCCGTAAGCCTTGGAGGTCAAGGCAGAGAACAGACAGAATCTTGAGACTAAAATCACCTAGAAGTGCTGCCATCTGCAAGCCAAACATTCCTTTACCACACCGTTTGACACAACAAGAGAGCTTGAGGAAGATAAGAGAGAAGTTCTCTGGGTCTTTAACTCCTTGTCGACTCGGGAATATGGGATTTGATTCTTTATCCCATGTGGGCTACACAGAGCTCAAGTTCAATTCTGACACTGAGTCTGAATTCCAGTACTCTGATGATGATGAGTACCATAACTATGGTCAAGAAGTGGATGAGCCTCCTACGGAAGAAGAAGAAAAACCTACAACTCGTAGTGATTCTGATAAACATGTTGACAATGAGATGGATCAACAATCATGGGTACAAGGTATACAACCTTATGTTAAAAATCAAGGCGAGAGAGAAGTATTGAAAGTTGAAAAGGGAAAAGGTCCTTCTGCAAGTCCAGAGTTTGTTTTACTTGAGGATCTTCATCCATCAAACATGGCAGAGGTTCCTCCTATGATGAAGCAAGCAAAAAATGAGCAAAACAATCCTTCTGTTCTTACTACTGATTCTTCTGTATTAACAGAACTCATGGCTCTTGTTGACTCTCCTTCGGGTTTAGCTGTTCTAAAAGATCATTTTGAGGCATCAAAAGTTAAAGGTAATAGTCTTCTTTTTATCTCCTTTTCTTAGTCTTTCGACCACTTGTTATTGAAAGAGCATAAAAAAGTAACATAGAAAATCCTGTGACGGGATCATTTGCAGGTTTGAATGAGATTGGAAAAAAAGATGAATTCAAAAATAAGGAAAACGTTGTTGTGAAGCCAATAGTTGATGATGAAACAATAGGCACTCAAGTTGGTCAAGTTGCTTATAATGTGCCTTCTACAGAGGTAACTTCTTTGGAACATAGTGAAACACCAAAGGCTAGGATCACTATCCAAGAAAAGGAAGCACCAAAGTTTATGGTAGAAAACCTTGGAAAGAGTGAAATTCACGAGGATTTGAAGCCATCCTCCTCCTCCAGAGAAAGTTTTGCATCGTCAAACGTTAATGTTTCTGACATTCATGATAGTACGAAGGCCCCTGAACTAGTTTTCAAAGAGAAAATTAATGATTCCACCCTAGAGTCCCTTGACACAGTCTTTAATGTGATTGAGGGTGAAAATATAGATGACAGGTTAAAAAGACAAATAGAGCATGATAAGATCCTTATAAGTACATTGACCAAGGAATTAGATGAAGAGAGAAGTGCATCTGCAATTGCTGCAAACCAGGCAATGGCGATGATCACAAGGTTGCAAGAGGAGAAAGCAGCACTACACATGGAAGCCTTGCAGTACCTACGAATGATGGAAGAGCAAGCTGAATATGATGGTGAGGAGCTGGAGAAAACAAATGATCTCCTGGCTGAAAGGGAGAAGGAACTGCAAGATTTAGAGGCAGAGTTAGAGTATTTCAGGATAAAATATGGAGACGAAGATATAGAGGAGAACATGCCGAATATTGTAATGTCTAGTATGAGTAGGGATGATAACATGGTAGGAGAGAATACTACTAGCTCTAGCTATGCAGAGCATGAGGTTAGTGAGCACCACTCTGGCCCCAACTCTAGAGAGCTCCCAAATGGAACTGAGAAAGGAGACATATTCACAAAATCTTCATGGCCAGACATTGAAGATGAGAAGTCATTCATTTTCCAGCGGTTGAAGGGCTTAGAGAGGAAGCTGCAGAAATTGTCTCATAGTGCTGCTGCATCACCGTACATGTCTGACAATGAGTATTCTGAAGAAACAACAGATAGAGGAGGAGTAGGTACAGGGGAATTTCTTGTAGGTAATGGAAGCCTCCTTCTACATGAAGAGCCTGATAGGAAATCAGTTAGCAAAGGTAAAACTGTTGTTGGCAGCCAGGTCATGAATGGACAAAGAACTTCCAATCCACTCCATGAAACTGATTTGACCACACTTAAGAATGAGATTAGTGACCTAAACGAAAGGTTGGAATCACTTGAAACTGATTGGAGTTTCCTTGAGCATACATTCAACTCCCTTGAGAGTGGAAAGGAAGGGGTGCAGTTTGTTCAAGAAATAGCGCATCGACTTCAGGATTTGCGCAAGATTGGGATGCAGAGTAGAAATCAATCTGTTCCTTGTTAATGAGCATTGATCATTATTCTTTGCAAGGTATGGAAATATTTCCATAGAATATTTCATACTAAAGAATGTCATGAGCAACTACGATAACATGATATTCTTAACAAATGACAAACTAATAACATGATATTCTCTTTGTTGTCCTACTAATCGCCAACCACTAAGAAAATTGGTGTTTATGTTCATGTAACCACTTACCTTTTTTCTTCTTGTTTTGAGACAACATATGGTGTAATGGAGACATCGATACTATCATACATACACTGAAGAGACAAAACATATTTGGATTCCTTCTTTCTTTCCTCGTTCTTCTTTACTGTTTTTTTTTCAGTCCTATGTTTCTCTTTGCTCTATAGGGTTTACTTTATAAATTTATCAATTGAATGACTATTATAGTTTTTGGTTGGCTTCCTAGTTGAAAAAAATCAATTCTTTTGTAAAAAAATTCAATTTCTTGGCTAGAGATGCATGGCATCTGTTAAGCAAACATAAAGTTGAAAAGGTAAAATTCTTGTGTTAGGTGTAATGAAGTTTATTCAGCTTACCCGAATGAACAAATTTATGATACACGTAGACTTATTTCGATTTTTTTACATGTTATTGATGGAGGTCTTCAGAGGGAAGGTGTCTAACCTAAGATTCAAACATGGAATCTCTAAGTTTAAAACCAGTGGTTGAATCACTATACCATGGGTCTCCCCCCAATTTTTTTCAATTTAAGATATGCGTCAATAATGCTTTATATTTTTTCATTTTCGGGTGAATGTGCGCCAGTGATTGGAATGGTTCCAACTCAAAGAAAAATGCGAAACAACTTCCAGAATTAAAAGAAGATGATATACTGCGGGTCGTTTGGATAAGGTTTTCTTAAATGAAGAATTTGAGCCTAAATGACTCATTTAAAAACACAAGTCATTTAAATATGAAATTTAGGTCATAATTTTTTTTATGATATTGGGTTCAAAATTGTTCAGGGAGGAATTTAAATTTTAATGTCAAATTTAAAAGTACTATTTTGCCATTTTCCATATCTTCTTCATTGACACAAAACATACATAATTCCTCTTCTTATGCACCATATTTCTTTTTTCTAGGGTTTGTTCAAACGGTTACCATGGTAATTACCAAATCAAACAAGCGTGTATTCTGTTAATCATGGAATACAATATCATAATCAAACCGTCCAAACTAATATAACAACCAAATTAACCAAACTAAAGTTTAATCAATTTGATTAATTGGTTAACTAAATTAACCATTATAATATCACATTTTCATTAAGTGAGAAATATTTTTCGGTTAATACATCAATTCTTCGAATACCAAAATAATTATATTTATTCACATCTAATCCCACGACCCGACACATTTTGATTTCTGATTTTCTGCTAAGTGCTAACTTTGATTTTCAATTTTTCCCCTTTTTTTGCCCCCTTTATTGGTTTCACAGCTTCCCCCTCTTCTTACCGTCGGTCGACGTCCCCGGCTTAAGGGGGTAAAAACACAACCGCATAATATCACCAAAAATGAAACCCTAGACCTTCAGATCCATCCCGAATCCTAATTCCTCCTCCTTCAGAGCATCGTTAAAGCGTTGAGCTCCTCATTTGGAAGCGAAGGTATATTCGTTTGAGTTCTGTCAATTACGGAAGTGGAAGTGGAGGGTTCAATTACTTGCTTTGTGGGTGTTTTTGAATTCAACTGATAGTCCTATCAACTCGCCGCTACGGATTTACTTAAGAAACTTAGAAATTTTCTGGAGACGTCAGCCGGGGAAAGCGCCAAAGAGGAAGAACAAAATATATGGGTGACCAATTCTGGTCTAATAGCGATGAGAGAGCTATGGTGGAGTCTGTATTGGGTAGTGAGGCTTGTGAGTTCTTAATTTCCTCGGCTTCCAGAGCTTCGTCTGCGGAATTGGCTACCGCACCCGGCAATCTGCGCTTGCAGCAGGGTTTGCGCCAACTTCTGGAAGGCTCTGAGTGGAACTATGTTATCTTCTGGCATGCCTGTGGTTTGAAATCTGGTGGGTTTGTGCTGGCCTGGGGGGATGGGATTTGCCGCGATCCGAAAAGCGGGGTTATTCCTGGAGAAGATAAATCTGGTGGTGGTGATTTGGAAGGTAGGGGAGAAGAGGGAAGAGGTGAATAAGCGTGTGCTTCAGAAGCTGCATTCACTCTTTAGGAGAACTGGTGAGGGCACTTACGTAGGTAGCTTGGGTGAGATTTCTCAGGTCGAAATGTTTTACCTCACATCAATGTACTTTCGATTCTGGTCTGATTCTGTAGTGGGTCATGGTCCTCTGGAATCATATAGGTCTGACAGATCCATCTGGGTTTCCGATAGGGCTAATTGTTTGAAACATTATCAGTTGAGATCCCATCTTGTTGGAGCTGCTGGGTTCCAGACAGTGGTGTTTGTACCAGTTAAATCTGGCGTTTTAGAAATTGGTTCAATCAAGCAAACCCACGAGGAGTCTGGTCTTGTGAAGAAGGCAAGGACCATACTTGGAAAATGTAACGAGTCCTCCCACTTGAAGGCATGTCCTAAGATATTTGGCCATGAGTTAAGCCTAGGTGGTTCAATGCCAAGGTCTATGAGCATCAGTTTTACTCCCAAGGTTGAAGAGGAATTGGTTTTCAATTCAGAGTCATATACAATTCAACAGTTGAGTACAGGTCAAATATATGGAAGTACATCGATTGGCTGCCCCGGCGAAAGCAGTGAGGCGAAATTATTTCCTCATACGAACCAAGTGCTTGTTCCTGCTAAAGGTGCTGATTTCGTGATCGCTGGATCGGAGCAGGGCAAAGATGACTTGTCACCTTTGGGTGATGAGCCGAAGCCTAGAAAGAGAGGAAGGAAGCCTGCCAATGGGAGAGAAGAGCCGTTGAATCATGTTGAAGCAGAGAGGCAGAGGAGGGAGAAGCTTAATCAGAAGTTCTATGCTCTCAGGGCTGTTGTTCCAAATATCTCTAAGATGGATAAAGCATCTCTTCTTGGCGATGCCATTACCTATATCAATGGCCTCCATATGAAGATTAAGGTTATGGAAGCTGAGGCAGGGATGGGAAGCAACAAGCATAGTATGGTAAACCCAGAGATCGATTTCCAGCAGAGGCAGGATGATGCAATCGTGAGGGTGAGTTCTTCTCTGGCTGATCACCCTGTTGGTAGAATCATTGAAAAGTTCAGGGAACATCAAGTTGCAGCCCAAGAATGTAATGTATCCTCATCCGAAGACGGTAGGATTGTTCATACATTTTCAGTCCGGACTCAGAGCGGAGTTGCTGAGCAGCTAAAGCAGAAACTGGAAGGTGCCTTTTCCAATGGGTAATACTGTAAACGATCGGTGTAGAATATCTTAGTCCGACAGACGGACACCTGCATTTACTGGAAAGGAAATGAATTTATTGCCTTGCTTTCCTACTGCCCAAGCCATGTATTCACAGTTATCAGCAGTGATGGTGGATATGTGTACTCTCTAATCTTGTTATTCTTGACCTTTGATTAGCTGCAAATAGGAATCATGTTTATGCTCTTATAGTTTGATGTAAATGTTTCAGTTTTGTAAGCTCTCTGAATCAGAAAACTTGATATGCTTTGCTTCGTTGAACCAGGTGAAATCCTGAGACCACACGATCAAAACTCCGATGTGGTTTATTGTGTTGTTACTTCCTGGGACATCAAGGGGTTATAAAAATGAACATTTTCTGGGAGCTGTTAGCCGTTAGGTTGTTTTTGTGGGCTTCATTTGGGAGCAAGTGTGACAGGAACGGAAAGCGTTATGACTCGATCTGATGTGTTTGATGGCTCTCTCTCGTTTTTTTTTTTTTTTTTAAATGACACTATCTATATGGTCAATAACCATAATTTGCCACATGAATACTCCTCTCTCTCTTTTGAATTTTTTTCCTTTAATTTTTAATGGACGATTTCTCTTTCGTTTTTATTCGGAATTTAATTTTTTTTACACGGATAAATCAGATTAATTTTGCTTTTTAAAATGATATTCACTTTGATATATTTTTGGAAAAAAAATTGAGCCATTTTTTATCAGTGTATACCATGGTGTTATTGTTTGATATTAAAATAAGAGCATACCATATGATATGAACAGCGTACCATGGTGGTATGAACATACCAAGATTATAGGATGGTTGAATACATGATAGTAGTAGTATACTAACTATCATTTACGATTTTCAACATTGTGTACCACAAGATACCACCCCCATAACAGAGTGGTATTTTTTGGTCCTCTATATTTTACACCAATTTTTTTTTAGATCCAATAAATCATGATTAACTTGTTCTTTCTGTGCAAACATTTTCAAAATCGACTTGAAAAAGAAAGAGATACCATATGGTATGGAGTTTGTAACGAGATGTATGGAATTTTTTTTCTCAAGAAATATTGAAAATGGATCTCATTTTTGTAGAGCACAACAAACTCGTTCTATTTGTGCAAAAAATTGAAATCTGAGTTAGAACGAAGAAGATAAGAGCTGACTAAGAAAACTAGGAAAAATAAAGTGTCTTTAACTCTCAATTTGTAGATATGAATTTGGTGGGCCCACTAAAAAAGGAATGTCCAGATTTAGTTATTCAAGGGTGCATAACCCTTCTTGAGCCCTCTTTCCATTCCCTCTCTAATATATCTATTTTTATAATTATTCCTAACTATTTGATGAACCTTAGTCATGTTATAGAGCCGAATGTTAGGAATTGATGTTTGAATGATTCATATGTGATTACACTATTCATTATATAGTGAATTGAGATATTATTATGAAATTGTGTGGGTATTGATCATTCTGCCCAATTTGAGGCTATTAACCTAAGGTAGAGAATGTTCAATTATGTTGATTAGATCATCCTTCAATTCTTCATTGTGGGTCAATTGATCGAGCGTGATATTAGACTACAAATGTCGTATTGGATCGACATCCTTTAGTAGGAGCCGAATTACATGTCTTAGTTGTTCTATTTTGACGGATGTAGAAACTCTCCTTGAGGGCAGTTCATCTTAAGTGAGCTTGGATAACTCGAATAGGGTGTTCAAGCGAATTTAGGACTCTCTGCGATATAAATCTTGAGTGGGCAAGCTAGGAACGTCAACATCGACTCGGTTAGTGGGTAGGGGGAATCAATGCCTATTTGAGCTCCCAACTTGTAATTTAGCTAATGTAGTTTAGTTTCTTAATCTCAATCTTGTGTGGACGGTGAACAAATCGAAAAAAAGTAATGGTACATCTAGAGACCAGTAATTTTATTACTTTATTTCACCCGGTCATTGGTTATGGTTGACCTTTGATTGGAAGAGTAGTTTAAACCAAGTCAAATATACTAATTGCATTTACCACCTTTCACAACCGTATATATGGTGTTATATTTGTCCTTGAAATTTTTTCTCGGAAATTTCTAGATCCAACAGGTCACGATAAACTAGTTCCTTCTGTGCAAAATGTTTCAAAATTTGAGTGAAAATAAAGGTGGTACTGAGTGATACTTGGTGGCAGCAGATTAGTAACGAGTGGAATGAATTTTTTTTTCACAAACTATATTCAAAATTGGCATCATTTTGAATATCATAATGAACTTATTCCATCTGTAAAAAAAATTGGACATTCAATTTAAAATAAAGAAGATATAATCCAATTAAAAAAATAGTGAAAATAAGAAGTATTTTAATCTCAACCCTTACACCAGGCCCAACTCTAAAGGACGAGATGTGGTTATGCATTTGTGCATAATCAATGATTATGAACCCTATCATTGACCATGCTAACTGGACTTAATCGTCGTAAATAGAGTTTTAGATTGTTTTACGGTTATACTCAAGGATTGAGACTGTTTTGGGTTTAAACACTTGGAAAATTAAACATCGATAAGTTTGTAGAAGTTAGCACCATGCTAAGTATGAGTTGCGGTAGTATAATCATAGTTGAAAGGCTAAGGTCACCTAGTGACTTATTTGAAACATATCTCCAATTAATCAAAAGCTTATTGGACACATTTAGTGAATTTGTGAATTCCCGTACTATTCTTTACCCTAATCTAGAGACTACATGGCTCTATCTCTAACGATTATGACGAGAGAGATTGCGCTAGACCTTCTATATAGATAATGTAAAAGAAATCTCTTTTAAATCATATGAAACACGCAAGCATGAAATATACTATTTATATAAAATATAATAACTATTATATAATGTTCACGTCATGTTGTTTATTTTATGCAATAATTATAAAATATTATGTTATGTAAAGTACAAAGACATTACGAAAGCAAAAAAAAAATATAAGTTGAGAGAAATCTAATCAACTTGTCGACATCAGCTCAGACATCAAGTTGTCTCTTTTTATTTTGGAAAAATTCCCCTCAATAAGCTCAACTTAGTCCAGTGGATTAGGCTTCCTTTTGAGTGTTTTATCATATTTGTGAATTTTATATTGAAAAAAAACTATTTGTGTTGTGGGCATGTCACTATTCCTTTTTTTTTGTTTTACAAGTAAACTTTTTGAAAGGTATATACTATTAGAAAAGAGAATGGAGAAACACCACAAAACTAGCGACATCCAAGGTCACTCATTCGCCAAAATTTCTAAAGTTGCCACAAAAGGCACAAAACTTTCCACTAAAAGAAATCTTACAACCGCTTTCAATTCCTTACCCTAAATAATGAACAAAAAAATATCCAAACACTAGTCAATCATTTCGATTGCCGTACCTTCACTTAAAAAATATGAATATCCTTCCTTATGCTTTTCATGGTCATTTTCCCTTCTCTTTGACTCTTGTGGAACCTCTTAGAACAATATCAAATTTTGTTTAACCCAAAAAGATAAAGACAAATATTATCTGAGTTACGAACTCAATTGATTCATAAAAAATTCATATGTATCGAGGAAGTAACGATCAAATCCAGGTGATGATCATCTAGTGAAAAAGATAACAAAAATGGTAACTTTGTCTTCTCTTTTGAGACCCCCCTTCAATTATGTGTATTTTAGTTTGAAATTTCATTGAACATCTACATTTGTTCTTATTGCCTGGAGTAATTTTGGTTTAGGTTTGAATCCCTATGATTGATATGTCATCTAACCTTTTAATTATTTTATATATGCTGTGGAAGTTAGATTTTTGCCATTATTAAATGTTACAGCAGTTTTATGAATTGATGCTAAGAAATTCTGTTTATGGCGGACAATTTTTCTTTTGTTTGAAGCTTCTAAACCGAATCAGATTCAAACATTACATTTATTTATGGTGTTATATGTTAGAATCCTTTCAATATAATTGCAAATAAAAATCTTGATCCATGTTATCCTCGTTAATTAATAAATTATTTAGCTTCTTCCGTAATAGATTTGCAATGAATTTTACGATAATTAACCCAAACTAGGGATAATATTGCCAAATTAATTTCATGCAATTATGTTGCTATACTCTATATGAAAATATAGACGAAACTATTAGTTTAATTAGTTTATTCCTTTTAGGGGGTGCCACAAACCATTGATGTTGGTTCTCATGTGTGGCTTGAAGATTCTGAACTTGCTTGGGTAGATGGAATTGTGTTTAGCGTCACAGGACATGATGTTGAAGTTCAAACTAGTGATGGAAGAACGGTAAGTGATACTTTTTTTTTTTATGTAACATCAAAACTAGTTTCATAGGAAAAGATAGAACTAGTGTTTTCTTGCAATATCTATTTATGCCACTTTTTGTCATTCATTATATTAGGTTGTGGCAAAGTTCTCAGCATTACATCCTCGGGATGCAGAATCTCGAGCTGGAGGAGTTGATGACATGACTAACCTCCATTACTTGAATGAGGCTGAAGTCCTACATAATTTAGCAACAAGATTTCAGATAGATGAAATATATGTACGTTTCCCCCTTACAATTTCATGACAAATCTCTGGCTCTCGATTGATATTTAACATCTTAAGACAGTAAACTAACTGCTACTACAGTTAAGGGCATGTGTGTTATAATGTTAATTGATATCATGCATGACAGACTTACACGGGGAATATTCTTATTGCTGTCAATCCATTTCAAGCCCTTCCACATTTATATGAACCTGCGGTGATGAAACGATATAAAGAAGCAAAAATGGGAGAGCAGGCCCCTCACGTTTTCACCATTGCTGATATTGCATACAGGTGAGAATATCTTAGCCTGGTTATCAAAGGATGAAAAAGGTTTTTTATATGCTATCAATAACTCACACTCCCATTTTACGACAGAGCAATGATTACTGAAGGTAAAAGCAATTCGATTCTTGTTAGTGGTGAAAGTGGAGCAGGAAAAACTGAGACAACTAA